CCGGGACTCCAGGATCATGACCTGAGCTGAAGGCAGTCGCTTAACCAACTGAGCCACCCAGGCGCCCGGAACACAGAGTGCTTTATCCTATCTGCATCCTTGAGAGACAATCCTTTTTTGGATTAAGCCCTCAAACAATTCTGTGCCTTTTGAAGAGGGTTTAATCTGACACAGGATTGACACGTGTTCTCAAAGCAGCACATGATTATGAAGGATTATTAAAGAAAGGATCCTAACATCATGGGTTCGGGGTACCTGAGTGCCTCAGTCGGTTAAGTGGCTGCCTTCGGCTCAGGTCATGATCCCAGGGTCCTGGGATCGAGCCCCGCATCAGGCTCCCTGCTCAGCAGGAAGCCTGCTTCTCCCTCTCCCACTCCCCCTGCTTGTGTCCCTGCTCTTGCTATCTCTCTCTGTCAAATAAGTAAATAAAATCTTTAAAAAAAAAAAAGAAGTGGTTTTCTCAGGACCATTAGTGACCTCAAAGGAAATGTCACTCCAGAATCCAAGTCCAGCCCAGCAGCTTCTGGTTTATTTCTTCCCCTTCTCACTCTCAGTTCACTTTTTGTCCGTGACAGACAAGGGGACACACACACACACACACGTGCACTGTGGCCAGCAGGGTGTGGGTGTGTGTCCAGGAGAAGAGGACCCCTCCTTGGCCCATTCAAAACAGACAACATCCACTGCTGACCGCTCCCTTCCAGAAAGGCAGAGAATGGACCTCCTTATAGTACTTTTTTTAAGATTATTTTTTTACTTTTAAATTTTTTCTACACCCAGGGTCCTGGGATCGAGCCCCGCATCGGGCTCCCTGCTCAGCGGGAAGCCTGCTTCTCCCTCTGCCTCTGCCTGCCACTCTGCCTACTCATGCTCTCTCTCTCTCTGTCAAATAAATAAATAAAATCTTAAAAAAAAATAAATAAAATCATGGGTTCTTTATCCTCTAGTCTGAGAGCCAACAGTCCTTTACATGTAGCCTCTGGGACAAAGTTAGGCTTCTGTTCTTTTCTCAGAGCCTTCAGCCATTGCATGAACTTGGGGACTCTATTCGCTGGTGCTGTAGGCTTAGATATGACCCAGTCTTTCCCAGCAATTCCAGGTGACAAACTAGAGTGGAAGACTGCACCCGTAAACTTTCCCTGCTCCTTCCAGTGGTTTGGAATGTACATGGTTGTTCTCCAAACCAGTAGGGGCAAGAGAGAAATTAAGCGTTAGCTTGACAAGATTGCTGGCAGTGATTGGAAGGAAGTTACATCTAGGCAAAAAGACTGTACCCTGAAACTAATGGTGAAGAGACAAAAAGATGGACCAAAAAAAAAATTGATGGACAGTAACCAGTGAGCATCTATGCCTCTACTACTTCTCTCTTTGAGATGAGTACTGTTGTTTGTGGGCCTGCTAAAATATTTTTAACTTGTGGATATTTTCAAGTTTTTTTTCTGTCCTACGAAAGGGAGACTCTGGAGGTCCGTTTGTTTGTAGAAGAGACAGTGGAATCTGGGTCCTTGCTGGGATAACTTCCTGGAGAGCTGGTTGGACTAGAGATTGGACTTCTTTAAGAACAAACCATAGAGGGGCATCACTGGGCATTTTCTCCAAGGTGTTTGTGTTGATAGATTTTATCACTCAGAACATATTCACAGGTAGGTGTAATTTCTGTGAATTCACCCTTTCATTCTAAATCAAAAATTGATCATGCTTATTTCAAGGGTAGTTACTCTGATATGTTGCAGGTATAATAGAATTAGGCTCTAAAAGCACGAATATGTCGATTTTCAGTTCCTAATCTGATGTATATGAACTTAAATCTCTAAGTTCTTGAGAACTGATATCTTTCAATTTAACTTGAACTAAACTAGGACATAACCTGGATCTTCAAGTTTATGTTCATGTAAATTTTTATGAGATGTGGGTCCTTTTTTTGAATTTATAAGATTTAAAAAATAACCATTGAGAAAGGGCTCTTTCTTCATTTATCCAGTTGACATATCTTTTCCCTCTAAACTAGTTTAGAGCACTAAAAATACATTTCTCCTCTCCCATTTCTCCCATTCACCTTTGTTAATTTTACTTGGCAACAGTGGGGAAAATAAGGGAGGCTTTGGAGAGTTATTTTTGTTTTGCAGCGCTAAAATCTAGATTAGGAAAACAAATGTGGGTCGAGAGATGCCGAACCTGTCCACAAGGAACTTCCCTGTTATTTGGGAAGACAACGGAGTAAATTGACTGATGTGACAAAAGGTAAAGTGTGGATAAGCTCCAAGAGCTGTCAAAGCACCGAGAAGAGATCTGAGGAGCTCAGTCCCAAGGGACCAGAAGGTGTGCCATGCAAAGGGGCAGCATCTATGCAAGGAATGCCCAGGGGGCAGCCTCTGCAGAGTAGAGAGGTGTGAGGATATGTAACTTACAAGAACAAGCAGTTTAGTACAAGAGCCAGAGCATCAGAACCTAGTGTTCTCTCCATCCCACCAGCACTCCCTCACTGTAGTCCACGATCAGCCACCTCGCCGATGATTCGAGAAGCACCACCATGACTGGTCCAGCTGAACACCAGAGCTACCTCTGACTAGAGCAGGCTCACCACTCACTCTCATTTGGGCATCAGAGTGAAAGTGTTCTGTTCAATTGTCATTACTGCACAGGGAAATTCTCTCCTGGTAGCTATTCTATTCAGTTTTCATCACCTGGAAGAGAAGGTTAAAAAGATTAACATGCCCTGAACAAAGGTTAATGATAACAATATTTTAAAAAGGCAATGAAATCATCCAGTAACAGTTAGTTTCACAGTCAAATGAATAGCAGAATGTGACAATTTATTTAAATAACACTTCCTTAACCTCATCTTTCTAAGCTTCTCATCCCATAAATTGCTTATTTTTTTCTAGCTTTCAACAATTAAAATGTGACACTGGAATCTGAAGTTTCTGAGTGCATAATAGAGACTTGCCACATCATTGCTAAAATTTGTGTACTTTTACTTTAGTATTTTTCTACACAGGTATTTTATTACAACCCAGGATATTCTAGTGAGAGATGGAGGGAAAAAGCCATATTAGTTCTATATACTATAAATTTGAAGCCTCAACATGACTCAGGATTTTGAAAACTGGATAAAGAAATGTTAAATCTGAAGAACTCAGATAAAGAAAAGAACATTATGATTTAGAAATTTTCTCAGTGAAGTCTGAGGTCATAGCATCTAAAAACATGCATTCCCATAAATATAAATTATATAAATTACACAGCTTCAATCTGTGTACCATATGTCTTGAAATTCTGTTCATAGCTGAGGTAAATAATCAACTTTTTTCTACATTTTGAAAGCTTGTAGATCTCAGGGAACAGTGTTATTTGGAGAAAAGGGGAAGATTCATTACCCCCATTCCAAAGAGGACAGCTGTTCTCATAATTGGTATGTATCCAAGGTAGGAATGATTCTTGTGTTCCCCCCAAAATCTTTAAGAGCTATTTTTTGGCAATTTTATCTAGTATCTCAATTTCTCAACCTGATTAACATAAAAGTCTGTATATTTCGTCTGATATTTTCTGGTTGGCAAGTATTTGCTGACTGATATTTCTGATACCCACTAATACAAACCGTCAACACAAGTAGTATTAAGACTGGGGCTTGCCTGAATTGATGTATTCAAATATCCAACATTAACAGCATCTGGTAGTGAGATTGTTATGGGAATTTAGTGATTAATCCTTTCCTACTTATTTCTGCAATAATGGTAATATTTTGTTAAGTGTTGCCTAAAAGATGGAAAATAACTTCAGTGTCTTTAAACTTTTTCTACATAACCTGTCCCCTTTATGTCTAAAGATATCTTTAAGCTTTAGAAATAAGTTTTGCAAGTACTTCACTTCCTCAACTGTTGTAAATTAACTTTAAATCTTGTATGAGCATTGAAAGATATGCAAAGGTTAGATCACAGTTCTGTGAGTTTATAATCTGGAAAGAAGAAAGAGCTGGATAAAAAGAACTATACTGTAAAACATCAAATAAGTTTTATAATCCACACTACCCAGGTGTAAGGTGGTATTATAGAAAATGCAGAGACTAATTCCAATTGCAGTGGTTTGTCCAGTATGTGTGTTCATACATACTATGGTTGAGAGAGAAGGGGTAGGAATGCGTTAGTGAAGGGGGCGGTATTGAAACTAGGCATTGGGGGATAGTTACAGTTTTGTAGCTCATGAAGTCTTTTGTAGCTCTAGTACCTAGGAGATTTCAACAGATCATGCCAGGCAGAGGGAATTATGTGTAAGCAATGTCAGGGAGGTGGAGATTATTACAGTTGTTTGGACAATGTGTATCACAGGGCAGATGGATCTTAGCATAAATAGAACTAGTGTAGCGGTAGACAATGAAGATAAAAAGGCTGATTAGGTCTTAATTGTAGATCACCTTAAATTCTATGAGAAGAAGCTTAGACTTTTTGCCATAAGCAATGGGAAGCTAAGATGGTGGCAAGATTATAATTTATAAAATGAATGTATCATGACTGTAAATACTTGTTATAAGTATAGAGAGGGAATGATATGGCTTAATTGAAGCCCATATTTAAATGGCTTAAAAGTCTAAATTGACTTTCTGTGCATCAACCTACTAATAATATAATACCAATTAGGCCTTTGCCATCTTTTCTTAAACTTTTAGAAAAATAGCATCTAGAGTGAGAGTGAGAGTCCTATTTTATTAGAGTCCTGGGCAGGGGGTAGTCGGGAGGGGTCTCCAGGTACAGTCTTTAGAGAGGGACATTGATAAGCTTGAAATTATCTGAAGGACAATGGCTAAGATGGGGAGAAATTTGAAACAATATCTTGGGAGATATGGTAGAAGGAAGCAGGAGTGGTTTTGATCCAAAGAAGACTTGAGATGAGGAAGGAACTTAATCTGAGGAGCCACTACAGATATTAGGAGGAAGCAGATTTCAATCCAAATAAAGTAGTTTCTAACTTGAGAGATCTCTGAGACTTACTGGCCTTCCTCAGGAGTAGTGAGTTTCCTTTATAAGTAGGTATTTGAGAAGAGCATGGATGGCTATGGGTGAAATTCTAGAAAACATCGATACATTAGGTTAAGAGATTGCAGATGGCAGCCAGTTCACCCTCAAACACAGAGAACTTGCAATTCAACTTAGACAATGAAGTATTGAAGAGATTTCTGCAAGAAAGACTTTCAAGGCAAAAGGGGTTATTAGTGTTAGATATTGCAGAAGTCAAAATGAGGTCAGATAAAATGCCATTGGATATGGCAGTTCAAAATTTCGCGGCTAATTCAGTAGGATTATAGGATCAGGAGCTATGTTCATAATTGGCTAAGCGATTGTTGAAGACTTGGTATCTTTCCTTCACCAAGTAGTCAAAACATTTTTATCAAAGCTTTAAGATGTGTTAGGCACTATTTTAGGTGCTAGAAATACAGCAGTGAATGAAATGGACAAAAATACTTCCTTTGTGGGGCAAGGTGGAAAGTGGAGAAGGGGGTAATACAAATCACGTTATAAATAAAAGTAAGTGGTAAGGGCTATGCAGAAAAACACAGGGATGGTTGTGCAATATTAGAGAAGGTAGTCAGGGAAAACCTCACTAGAAAGATGGTATTTGAACAAAGAGTTGAATAAAATGAGGGAAGGAATCATATGGGTCACCTTGGGAAGGAACATTCTTTGCAGAAGGAATGGCATGTTCGAGGGAGGGAAACTTTTGGTATGTTTGGGGAACAGTTGGATCAGAGTGCTAGAGCTAAGTGAGAGGGGGGAAGTGGTCGTGGTTGGCATGATCAAACTTACAGGACATACGGTCATTGGATTTTACTGTAAGATGTGTAGCCATTGGAGGATGTTGAGCAGATGAGGAACATGATCTGACATATTTAAAAAGGATCACTTCGGCTGTTGTATTGAAAATAGACATTAGATAGGAAAGACCAAGAGCTGAAAGACTAGTTACTGCAATAATCCAAGTAAGCATGGTGGCTTGGGACCAGGTTTGTAACAGTAGGGGTGGTGAAAAGTGGTAGATCCACAGGATTTGATAGTGAGTTGAAAATGTGGGTTATAAGAGCGAGAACGTTATGATTAACGTGAGGGTTTTTGACCTGTTGGAGGGATGGAGCTGTCATTGTTTTTGATGAGAAAAACAGTTAACAGTGAAGGGAAAGAGGAAGATGGGACTGTGGTTTTTGGGTAGTAGGACAGGTTTTGAGAGAAGCAGGGGTTTTTTGTTTTGTTTGGGGGAGGGATGGGTTAGGCTTAACTGTGCTCATGAGGAGAAGAGAGAGTAAGGGAGATGAGTCAAGAGAAATGTATAAAATACATGAAGGAAGTTTCATGAGAATGCAACAAATAAAGAAGGTTTAGCTTTGAAAAAAAAAAAAGTGAATAATTACTTTCCTGGGAAAGCAACAAAAAAATTTCAGGTTACCTATAGGAAAGTTAAATAAATTTACACTAGATATCCTCTTAGTACTTATAAGGTTTTAGTTGCTTTAAGTTTAGAGGATGAAGTTGAGATTAAATAGTTAAGATTTGTAATAGCATGTAAGGACTAAAATAAGGAGTCAACAAGAGCTGAATAAGAAGACTTTCAGCAACTTCACAACACAGTATTAGCATGAATTTATACTGTATTTCAGTACATCTAAAACAAACTGGTTGTAGAATTCATTGTTATTTTATGTATCAATAAAGAAAGAAAAAATACCCAAGATTAGGAGATCGCCATATAAAGACAGGACACCAGGGGCGCCTGGGTGGCTCAGTCAGTTAAGCGGCTGCCTTCGGCTCAGGTCACGATCCCAGAGTCCTGGATCGAGCCCCGCATCGGGCTCCCTGCTCAGCGGAGAGCCTGCTTCTCCCTCTCCCTCTGCCTGCCGCTCCCCCTACTTGTGCTCTCTATCTCTCTCTCTGTGTCAAATAAATAAAATCTTAAAAAAAAAAAAAAAGACAGGACACCAAAGGCTATATCTTCAGTCTAAGGCTAAACAAGGCATAGGCACACCCACGTGAAAAGTTACATGCCTCAACCTTGACACTGGGTGTAGGGAGGGGTAAAAATCTTCTCTGAGAATCTGAATCACAGACTAATGCTTATGCAGGTCTGTTGTCCAAAATGTCTACCACCAGTATAGTCTGAAACACCTCAAGCAGAAAAATTAAGTAGCATGCCGTTGGTAGTGCTCCTAGGTGACTGACCAAAGATAATTTCTTTCTGGAAGAATTGTTTCCATCTAAGTCTAACAGAACTGCAAGACTCCATTGTAAGATCCTTCTGATTTTTAGAATGTTCAAATGTGGGGGAAAAAATGTGCTTTAGAAACGTAATAAGATACGGAGTCAATTTGCATACTTAGTGATTTCTCCATTATGCTAAGCAGCCTTGAGAATGGTAGGAAGGATTAATTCCAGATGGAGTTAATTAAAGGTAAGGTAGAAACAGATTATGTGAAGAAGGAACAAGGAGTTAGTTTCTCCAAGCTTATCTTTATTCTGCTAGGCGGTACCTAAATTCTCTGACATGGCCCATACACGACACTCAGGTTGTCTCCCTCCTTCCAGGCCCATGAAAAACCTTGCGTTTCTTAGGGCCTAGAACAGTGCCTGGCATATAATAATGCTCAGTAAATATTTGAATGGGTAAATCTATGCTTAATTTTGGTCCCCCTTTCTCACTTAGCTTGACTAGACCTCAGAATCCTTTCTAACACAGCAGTCACTAACAACAAATCAGGTGATTTGAAATCTGTTTCCTGTCTCTGAGGTAGAGGTTTTGAAGTAGAAAATTGGATGAACAGGAGAAAGTACTTGCCTTTGAAGCCATAAAACCCAAAGTGTATTTCCTACTATGTGTGAGGTGTGATGAGTCTTTTAATATCACGACAGTTTTCTTATTTGGAGGAGGGGGAGCACTTTCTCTTTGCTCACTTCAGAGGGGTATAATGAATCTCAAGAACGATGATAGGTGTGGAGTGCCTTCTCAGTTGAAGTGCCTAAAAAAAAAGGGGGGAGCTTTATAATCTAGACAGCTTATTGCTTTCTAAATTGAAGTGCTTAAAGAGTGATTTTTAATAATATTTTAGGCAGCCTTTTTTTACATCAATGTTCAAGATGATGGACTTGAAAAAGCAAAGCAGGGAGTTTCTGGTTAGGGAGGAGGTATTTAGTAAGAATTATTGCGTTTGGTCTTTAGAAACTGGGCATTAAGAAGTTGATAACTCCTGCGGTCCTAAACAGTATTCTTCGAGGGCAGTGAGACTGTTAACAGGTCTAAGGTGGTTGATAAAGACTGTCAAGTTTTAGAAGTTTGTTCTGACGTGTTAGATTCCAGGCACGATTGCTTTGCACTCAGATGAATGTGAGACATGAAAGACGCTAAGGATTTATGGTCTGCGGGCTTTCTTTTCTTTAATAATATGAATTCATGAAGGGAAATAAAGGTAGAGGATTATGTGTTAAATCATATAAGACTACTTTCAGGATGTTTAGACATGTTTCTAAAGATGTTAATAAAAGGTCACAGCTGACCTTACCAGGAGTTAGAGAGATGACATGGCAACCGCAGGGACCGTGACCCAGGCTGACCTTGAAGGATGTGACTGGTTAGAGTTAACATATGCAGCATAGTCAATCCATAATTCATGATCCATAATTCAACTTCTGGGTGCGCATTATGAATTTTCAATTAGACTATTAACTCAGAACAAAGAGATGAATCTTAGGTTTTTCAATGTATAGATCAAAATTCTAGCATTTTATAACTGAATGAAAGTTAAAGGGTGGTTTCTGGTGATTCTCTAATTAACCCCTTTATTTGTTGGATAAATGCCGGCAATTTGAGCATAAACAAATTATTCTCACATAAGGATTTCCATTGCCCTTTATCTTCTAATAGCCTTTAAAATTTTGTTATTGGTGAGTTACGAGCTAAAGCCCAGATACTAGATCTTATTTGTCACACTCGACTGTGCCATTTATTATGCTTTCTCCACCCTCCCCTATCTAGCTTATGTATGTGGAGAATGATGGTACCAGAAGATAAAATTATCCTGATAAGATTTACAAGCTTAGACATACCAAATCAAGTTGGATGTGACCATGACGATATATCTTTACAATCAAGCAATGGAGTGCTTATTAGTACGTATGTTACATTTGTTTTTACTTGTCACGTTAGAGTATCTAAACAACCAAAGGGACCCGAAGTTAGATTTCTGCCCCTAGGACATCTTCTGTACTGTCCCTTTCTGGAAGGGGTTGCGTGCGTGTGGTAGGAGAGGAACCGATGACCGGCATATTGACTGAGCTTTCTCTATTCCCTTCTCAAGTTCAATGACATTGATCTCATGACTATCCGAAACTTCCTTTCAAGGCAATATCTACTTTTTTGTTTTTTTTAATCACAAAAGTGGGTGCATGTTTGCCAAATTTGGTAAAGACAGATGAGTGAATGGAAGAAAATGTAAACTGTTAATAATCCTGCCACCTAGAGATAAGTGCTGTTACCATTTTGAGGTGCTGTGTATTCATTTATATGTATTAACTGTACACACTGAATTTCACATTGTTTTATAATGTTCTTTTCTCTCATGACAGTAGATCCTTTCAGGTCATTTATGGAATACCTCTTATAAACTGTAAGCATAATTAATAACTTTAATTGAAACGTGTTAAGCATCTTGATAGAGAGTCTCTAGAGCCGATATAGACCTTGGTCTCCAGCACAGGCCAGTGGTAAGGAAAATTATTTCTTCACAAATTGACAGGATGCTATAGATAAGGTATTGTGCTAAGGGTCATAATATTCGTTGACTAAATGATTTCACACTTCAGGCCTGCTATTTACCTAGTAACCATTCTTTCAACCAATCGTTTGTTAAGAATCAACTATGTGTCAGATACTATATCAAGCCCTACATATATAGAGAGTAAAAACAGTCTCTGCTCTAATGAAATTGCAGTTCAATGAGTTAACTAAAGGTGTACCATAAAGTGGGAAATGACATAGTATAGGAAATGAACTGTGGTGGTTCAGAAAAGGTACTCTTATCTCAGTGGGTATTTGGGAAGTTTGTGAGAACTGGACTTTGAGTGGGGCCCTGAAGGATGAGTAGAATTTAGGCATGGGAGATTGAGCTTGAGAAAGCAAATGGAATATAAAACCATTGACACAGAGAGTGTGGGAAAATTAAAGTAACCACTAAATAGTTCGGTGTGTTGAGAGCAGAGAGTTCCCGGAAGATAATATTAGGAAAACACATATAAATTTCTGCCATTTTAATGCTATTTCAATCTCTTTGCCTTTTAAGGTAAGGTCTGTGGAGGTCTGTTGCCCTCATCATTGCTGACAGAGACCAATGAGGCCACAGTTACATGCGTTTCTAGGACAGGAAACAGTGGCAACAGCTTTGAGCTGACCTTTACTGCTGTATGGAAGAACTCAGGAGCAGGTACCTCAAATAGCTAATTCCCTGACGTTTTTATTGGAGATGGGGGTAAGGAAGAGGGAATGCCTCTGGCCCTTCACTTTGGCGTTCCCTGACACGTCCCCAGGTTCAGGCTGTGGGAGTGTGGCTGCACCAGTGGAAGGAGGGACAATTCACTCTGTCGATTATCCTGACTTGTATCCCACGAATGTAAGGTGTCATTGCTTCAGTCATTCTCCAGAGAAACCCATTATAAAGGTAAGCAACTATGGAAGCTCTATACACTTCGAGAGCTTAGCTGTGTTGGTTAGGCAGAACTCACTTCATCTGGACTAGGAAACAGCCACTATGACTAGGAGCTTCTGTTTGTCATATATATATATGGCTCTATGTATGGATCTGTATATGTTGTTGGAAACGTTTCAGTAGTTGAAGAGAGAATGCACTGAAAAGTATGCCCCCTTCTCTAATTCCCATCCTGCCTCCTAGTGGCGAACACTGGTTAAGTATCTCAAGTATCCCTAGAGAGAGATTCTGAGTCCTTACAAACATGCATATATTTATATTGCTTAGCAGTGCTTTTTCTACTCATATCCCCAAAATCTTTCCAAATGAGTCCACAGAGCTCTTTTTAACAACTGCACAAAATTATATTGTGTGATATTCCATAATTTCTGAAGCCAGTTCCCTATTAACAGACATTTAGTGGGTTTCCAGTCTTTGTCCATACCAACAATGCTAGTACGTTCCTGTGTCAGTGTTTTTGGGCACATATGGAGGTACATAATTCCCAGAGGAGGACTTTGTGTCAAAGGGTTTGTACATTTTAACCTCCTAGTTATTGCCAAATTGCTCTCCAAAGAGGCTGCAATGACTTACACTTCTATCAGTGGAATAGGAGGGGGTAACTGAGGACCTTTTCATGTGCAGAGGGAAGCTTTTAAAGCTTATCTCTTCTGTTCCTTGACCACTTTTCTGGTTATGTTCCCAATTTGTACAGTTGGAATTTGAGGACTTTATCACTGAATTTAGCCAAAACTGTGTTTATGACGCTGTTGTGATTTATGGTGATCCTGAAGAGGAGCACGAGTTAGGTGGGTAATGTTCCATCTAAAAAGCACGAGAGTGGTTGCAACACTGATTGGCCTCCTTGGGTGCCACAAAGTCAAATGGGAACGGGGATTTCTTATTCTGGAAGCTCATGTGTCAGAAAACCTTAGCTTTAACCCATGAGCCAACAATGGATTCACCAGTAAGGTTTTTTAACAGAAACATGCAAAATGCAGAGAATGTTTCAGAATATTTGGAAGGTGAACTTTTCCCACAGTAACACTGAGTACATTTTTGGCAGTTATTGAAGGTAATTTTTTTAACTCCTTTCTGTGTAAATCTCTTCAATTGCTGATATTTTTATGTCCGAGAAAAGTAACTAAAAGAAGTAACCAAAGCTATAATTTCTGCTTGAGTCTTAAAAGTTCATTTTTGGAACCAAAACTTCAAATATACTTTCATTTCTGACCTACCAGTGTACTGAGTCTAAAAAATGTTCCCTTCTCATTGTGCAGCCATTTACTTGATGCCTACTATCTGTCCCTTAGCTAAGTGTTGGTGTGGGTCGGAGAGCAGGAATATAGGTGGGTTGGGAATGTTTGTTTGGATATTCAAGGCAGGTGAGTGAAGGCACAGTCCCCTCATCCAGCAGAACGGGACCTGTATAGGGTGGGCTTTGGGTGCAGCAGATCACAGGTGTTACTTATTCACATAAAGCGCAGCCATGTTCTGTTTGGAAAGAGGAATACCAAGTTTGGGATTTTAACTTGCCTCTTCTCATTGTGTACATTAATCAATTGAAGTTTCTATACATACTAAAAATCAGATGTTTTACCCTATCTATAGAGTGTTCTTCTGTGAGATAAAATTAGAATACATAGTTATCTTGAAACTAGTGTTCAATTCCCACATGAAATGGAAAGGTGTGCCTAAAACCAAAGTTGAAGAAAACCAGAATTGCTGGGGAAAAATTAATCAGATAATGTTTTACCCCTGTTCTGATTTTTTTTTTAAATTATAACTGTAAATCAAACTTCCCTAAAACTTTGACAGATAAGCTTTGTGGAATCTTGAACCCTACTCTAGTATTCAGTTCTAATTACATGCTGGTGATTCATTTTAAAAGTGATGGTGAAAATACCTTCCAGGGCTTCAAGGCTAGATTCACCTTTGTGCTCTCAGGTGAGTATAAGTGCTTGCACAGTAGTGATTTTTGCTTGTGAAGACAGTTATACAGAAGATCGCTTAGCAATGTGTACCTAAAATTAGGGTGCTTGAATCACCTTGGTGGCAAAGTAAAAATACAGTTTCCTGTGCCCACCCCTGAAGATTTAGATTCTATAGATTGTGATAGGGCCCAGGAATCTGTGCTTTCCCAAGAACCTCAGATGAAGCCAAGAAACTACATCCACTAAATGATCAAAAGAGACTCTAAGCTCCTAATATGAAAAGTAGATAATTTAGATGAAAGAATGGAATTCAGAAATGAGATCGACTAGTTCTGTTTGGGGATGTTTCAGGGTTTTGAAGGACTAATAGTTTTCCAGTCATTCTAGAAAACAAAGCAGCATTTACCTAGACAAAAGGAATATAATCTGCAAAGACCCTACTGTGGAAGAGAATGGGTGATGTACAAAAAGCTGCAAATAATTCGACATTGTTCAAGTTTTGGAGAGAATGATAGAAAAGGCAAGAGTTAGATCATGATGGATTCAGGGCATTCAATGTTAGATACTAGCTAACATTTATTGATTACTTGCTCTCTACCAGGTATCAACTAAACATTTCTCATGCATTATGACCTTTATTCCTCCTTACAAACGTAAGAGGTTTATACATTGCTCTCCTTTTCACAGATGAGGGACAAGAGGTTCAGAGAAGTTGAGTAGCCTTTCTCAAAGATGCATAGCTGCCAAGAGGTGGAGCCAGAATTCAAACCTTGGTAGTAATATGGAAGACTGAGATTAGGGGTAAATTTACATGCAAGGAGACTAGTGAAGAAGTCATTGTAAGAATTTATTCTAGATCTATTCCCTGATTAGATATATTGTGCAAAGGTAATATATGAAGGAGAAACATTCCAGCATGATTTTTAGGATTCTAGCTTTAGAGGGAAGATGGATGGTAGAGCCACTAAATGATACAGAGAAGCATAACAAGACCATGTTCACTGTTGAAATCAATTGGTTCCATTTGAGACAAGTGGATTTTTATGAGCTTGTGGGATATCCAGATGCAGAAAGCTAGCAGTCCTAGCTCTAGAATTCAGAAAAATAGACTTAGATTGAAGAGAAATGTGGAAGTCATATGTAAGCAAATGAATAGTAATAGGGTTATAAATGTACCTTGTGGAATATCTTTCAGCTGAAGGATAGGATCTTGGAAAAAAAAGTCTGAACTTGAGAAGAGATGGCCATAGATGTATCAAGAAGATCAAGAGAGTGATTTCATGAAGCCAAGGAAGGAAGAAATGCTTAAGAGTCAGATACAAGAAGAATGTTAAGAAATATATAATAAATCACATGTGTGGGATCTGGCATTTAGCACTGGAAAGGTAGTATTAGTGAAATCAACATGAGAGTGGTTTTATGATTGACTCCAGGGTAAGCAAGTAGGGTCAACGGGTATAGACTACTTTAAATATTTTCAATTGAAAAAATCTTTCCTCTATAGACTCTTTAAACCAAGTTGGATCAACATCACCCCCCAAAATCAATCCCGTATCTTCTGCAAAAGCTATTCCATATGATGAGTTGATGGTCATGTGGTTACTATGTGTTTAATCTTTCTTCTTTGGAAAGCCTCATTTTACATTGCTATAATTCCTCAGTGAAGAAGAATGAATTTTAGGTCCATGAAACTTCCAGAATCTTGTTTGGGTTTGAATATAGAATCATAAATAGAGGGAAGACGAAATAAGCTTTATGATTGGAAGAAAGGGGTACAGAGAGCAATCCTTTGTCCTCATCTATTCCTGTGCAAACTTAATATTTAAAATATTTTCCTAGACTCTGTATTTAATATGATTATGCATTTTTGGGCAAAGGGAGAAAACAAAAGTTTTTGTTTTATTTCATTTTAGCACACTCTGGCAAATTTTAACTTGTAATCCGAAGTATCTGGTCAAAAATTATGATCTTTCATTGTTCTATATGCATGTATTGAATATGGTCTAGTTGATGGGCTATAATAGAAAGTAGTACAGGGAGCTGTAATAGGAGAGAATGTCTGCCTCTTATGGGTAAGTCAGAGGAGGCTCCACGGAGAAAGAGCACTTGAGCTAAGTCCAGCAGTATTACAGACAAGAGACAGGCATTTGGATGTCTGAGTGCATTTGGCATGTTTGAGGACTAAATGGTTTCATACCATGAGAGCGAGGGAAGAAAGATATATAATGAAGAACCTTGCATGCTCTGTTAACTAACAAAAATTTCCTACTAGAATATAAGTTCCATGAGGGCCAAGATTTTTGTCTGTTCTGTTGACTGATAGATCACCAATATCTAGAACACCAATATCTAGAACAGTGCCTGGCAATACAAAGCAATATTTATTAAATGCATGACTAAATATTATTCTGTAGACCAGTAACTAAAAACCCAATTGCTTAGCAGAGTCGCCTAGGCAAGCTTTTAAAATCCAGTTCCTCAGATGTGGGGTCTTGGGAGTTGACATTTTTATAAAGCTCATCTGGTATTTCTGAATTACTTCTGTTGGCTATTGCAAGCCATTGGAGGGAGGTGTTTGTTCTTCATTATTTCAATTGGATGGGTCATTAGTTTCATCTTCTTTGCTGTAGGCATCTGTGGCATCCCTCCATTTAGTCTCCAGTGGCTTTCCAGAGGAATTGTAGAGGGCGAAGAAGCCTGCCCCCACTGCTGGCCATGGCAGGTGGGTGTGAGGTTTCTAGGTAGTCACCAGTGTGGAGGGGCCATCCTCAACCCCACTTGGATTCTGACTGCAGCCCACTGTGTGCAATCGTGAGTGAAACTGATGATATTTTAATAATGTAGTTCATACATGTATTTATAGACCGTGCCTAGGATATAAGTATAATTGTCTAACTACTAAAGTCATCTGGACTAATTTTAAAGCAGGAATCTTTCGGTGATTTTCTACATAGCAATCTAGCCTCTATTTAAACAATGTCAGCGTGGAAAATGTTAATCAAACCTTGAAATTGCTCATCCCATTTATGGCAATCTCTGATTATTATGTTGATCACAAGTCTGCTTCTCTGTAGCAGAAAGCTATTGTTCTAAATTTACTGGAGTTCCAGAACACAAGAACTAAGTCTGTTTCTTCTTTCACATACAGTGCTTCCTATACCTGAAGACCTCTCTCACATTTTCCTTTAATTTCATCTTTAAGCTAAATGCTCACCGTTATATTGTTTGTCAGTAATTCCAGATGCCTCACCATGCAGTGCAACTTCCCCTGGATTGATTTAGTGTTGTCTTTCTTAAAATGTGGTTCACAACCGTGGAGAGCACAGTAGGATAATCTACCACCTTGGTCAGTGGACTACTAGTGAACTAAAATTTTGGTTAACTTTTTCAATGTTTTCAAATTATGAATTATGCCATGATATGAAAAAATGTACATAATATATGTAGTCTAAAGAATAGTAAATGTACATATGTATCCCTGCCATTCAGTTTAGGAAGAATCTTTACACTTAAGACCCTTTTAGTGCCCCTACCAAGAGGTACACACTATGCTAAATTTTGTATTTATGATGCCTTTCCTTTTTTTTTTATTTTAACATCTGTGAATCCCTAAAACAAGCATATTGTTTGATGTTTCTTGGTTTTGATAATGTAAAAGAATTGTAGTTTATATTTTTTGTGTCTTGCTCTTATCCTCATGTTATATAGATAAGCCATGTGACTGTGTGTAACTGTAATTAATTCATTTTCAGTCCAGACTACCTAAGTCAGTCACCTGTTGGTGAGTTCTGGATGCTGGTATTTTTTTTTTTTTTTAACTCCTCAGATGATTCCAAAGTACAGCCATGATCAAGAACCACTTCCTGTCTATCTGACTCCAACAGGACCACTGCTGTGCTTGCTCACAGTGGACCAGCCCCGTTCTTCAAACACACTATACTTGCTCCTGTCTCCAGATGTTGTTGTGGTTGCTGTTTTCTTTGCCAGTCAGGATAGCATATTACATTTAGTCAGCATGTCACATAAGGCTCCTCTTGGCTCTGAGTATCACAGACTTGCCTTGTTTTTGATGATCTTCCCAGTTTTGAGGAGTACTCATCTGTTATTTTGTAGAAGGTCCCTCAATTGGAGTTTGTCTGATATTTCCCCATGGTTTTACTGGGATTATGGTTTTGGAGGAGGAAAACCGTATCGGTAATATGCCATTCTTATTATATCATTTTAAGGTTATGTATTATCAACATGACTTATCACTGATGATGTTAACCTTGAGTACTGGCTGAGGTGGTATTTGCCAAATGTCTCCATCATAAAGTTACATTTTCCTTCTTTCCACCCTTACCCTTTGGGAGCAAGTCACTTAGTGTGGATGACACTTGAGACGTTGGGTATAAGCTCCACCTCCTTGAGTGGAGAGTATTTATGTAAATTGTTGGAAATTTTTCTGTATGGAAGATGTCTCTTCTCTATTTGTTAAATAATTTGTTTATATCAGTATGGACTCGGGCATATTTATTTTAAAATACTACATAATACTACATAAAATACTAACATTCTGTTGCTCAAATTGTTCCAGGTTTGACCAGTGCCCGTTCTTTCAGTGTCTTGTGTGTGTGTCCATTTGTGACACTAAAGAATGATCCAGGTTTATCTTACATGTTCTCTGCTCAGTCCTGGAGTCAGTCATTTCTCCAATGAGCCCTGGTTTATTTTATTGGAGAATGGTATGAGAAATTAAGATCTCAGTGGCCGGTGTACTAGTTGGTCCTAGGGTGTTATTGTACTAGGTCCTCTCAGCGGACAGAACTAGAAAATATAGCCATGCACATGAATCCATTTTATAAACCTTCTTTCTGTATCTACATTAAGCTAAACATGAGTTCATGTGGATGTTTCCAACTCAGTCTAATACCATATCATTCACTCTAGGCCTTCCCTCCCTTGGAGATGCCCACTTTATAGTAATTCTATCAGAATTCATTTTTATGTATCATGGAAAAGAAGCCTCAATAGTAGCTGATTAATTAGTAAAAAAATAATGTATTGGAGAAGACAAATATTAGTATTGAAGCTTGAGACACAGAAGTAGTTTTGGCAGATTCCCTTGTCAAATAGAATCGTCTATTCTTATCATAAGGTGGATATTCAACTTGATGAGTCAGTTGAGATTATTAAATACAATCAGCCGTAAATGTTTGTGAACTATTTAAGTTGACCACAAAAGGAATTTGTATGCAATTTCATCAGTGATTTCTTGATTTCTTTAAAAAAAAAAAAAAAAAGATTTTTATGGGGTGCCCGGGTGGCTCAGTCAGTTAAGTGTCTGTCTTTGGCTCAGGTCATGATCTCAGGGTCCTGAGATAGAGCTCTGCATTGGGCTCCCTGCTCAGTGGGGAGTCTGCTTCTCCCTCTCCCTCTGCCTCTCCCCCTGCTTGTGCTCCCTCACTCTCTCTGTCAAATAAATAAAAAGCTTAAAAAAAAAAGATTTTTATAAAAGTAGTGCTTGCGGGAATAAGCAGTTAAGAAAGTTATCAAGAAAAATCTAAACTGTCTCCATTTCATGAATCCATTCCTCCTCTTTAGAAGTGATCAATATTAAGAATGTCTTATCAGATTTTCCACTAACATTTAAGCACACAGGCATATAGTTTATAGTATTTTTATATACCACATATATTTTTTAATGATTTTTTTTGCACAAGACATTGTGCTTTCTATTTACAGTGATATGGAAAATGTCTTTGGGACTCATTTTTTAACTCTTCTTTGTAGTTGCCTAACTTCTTTCACCAAAAGAAATGTCTTTTTGAAGCCTTTCCTTGCAGTGTATGGCTCTTTACACCAGAAGTGTTTGATAGGCCGGAGTAACAAAAGCAGGATGTTCCACTCATGCCCTGCCTTTGTGGGAACTCTGCAACTGCTTCCTTCATGGATTTGTTTCTCCCGGCCTCTTCTTCATCGTCCTGGTAGACATCAGGCCTCCATCCTCCATTGAAAGGGGCTTCCACGTATCCAAATCCATTGATAAGGGGGAAGTTCGCCACGTGGGATAAGCCAGCTGGGGAGACATGCGAGGTCTGGGAGCTGAGGTAGACCTCATTTTTGCTGAAGGTCACTAGGTGCCAGGCTATCTGACCTCGTTGGGTAGCACTCCAAAGACATAAAGGATAACCAACAGCAACATCGTACCACCACCCATGACTTGCCTGGGACTGGTCGCTCTTAATATTAGTTCTCAAACTTTAGCATATACCAGAATCACCTGGAAGTTTTCTGAATCTGTAAGTCTGACATGGGGCCTGAGGATTTTGTGTTTGTAATCAGTTCCCAGGTACCGTTGTCCCAAATTTAGGGAAAACTGGTGGTGTTCTTTTGCTGTTCCACGCTGGTCTTTGTGCTCATTTGGGATTTTTAACTCCCTTCAGAGGACTAAATTCACTTTGCAGTTATACGTTGGAATCTTTGTCTCAAACCTAATTTTTTTCCATTTCAGCTACTTTTTTCCTGTAGTTCAGCAGTGATCCTTTCTTCTCCCAAAGCAGAAGTGTCCCATGTTGGATGTCCCATTGTTGGATGGGGGGATAAGACCCTAAGGATATAAGAAATGAAACTTGGTTGCAAGCAAGGGGCCAGATAGGATGGAGAAAACTACCACTTGCTACTTTGAGCTATCATCCCATTATTGGAAAAACTCGGGCTTTGTTGCCTCATAACATGTGTGTTGCTCTGTCATATGCTTTTTACACAGTTCTTTCTACCAAATTAAAGGATATTTGATGACTGTGCACCTATAATTTCACTAGAAGTTGTGATCTGCATTATCAACTATACCATGATTTTTATTATTTCAATTTATTGTGCACACCATCCTCTATATAAAGGAGTAGAGTGGCTTTAAGAAGTAAGTTTCTTTACTACCAAGTAATAATTTAGAGGGTGACTTTGAAAATAAAGTTTAATCCTTCTGTTAGGGTGCATGGCAGGTAATAACAGCAATAATGGCTACCATTACGGAGTCATTACCATCTGCAAGGTACTTGCCAAGTACTTTACCTGAGTAGGCTCCCTTAATAAAGGCATATTGAAACACATGAATAAGTCAGACTCCTCACGCAAGGAATTGAAATGAGCATGTTTATGACTAAAGAGAAGAAGCCTACGTGTATTAAGAAACTTCTATGAATAAAGTGCACTGAAAAATAATTTCAGTAACTTTATTTTTTCTAAGGAAACAGGTTTGAAAAATTAAAGAATCTCCAAGCTGAGGTCACAGAGTATCTCTGACAATTGAGGGACTCTTTCCTCAGGTATTTCTTCAGCTGGAAATTTTGATGTGGTAGATTAATGGATGTTGATTTCAGGGTTTTTTTTTTTAACATCCATTTGAAGTACATCAAAAGTGTGCAAATCTCAGGTTTATAGTTAGAAGAATTTGCACACAGGGAGCACCCCTGGAACCAGTGCCCACATCACGAAACGAAATACTGCCAACACCCAGCAGCCTCCTTATGCCTCTTGCAATCATCAGCACCCCCCACTCCCAAAGTAACACCATGGGTGAGTTTTACCTGTTTTGTTAACTGATACATTTTTTTTTTAACTTCCGTTCCATTAATTATGGTGGTTTGATAAAAGATAACAACTTGAGATGTATCCCTGTAAGATAATGTTTGGATACTTTGAACAGTAAAACAGGCCAGAAGCTACCTCATTTTGAATGTAGGGTTTTTTTCATATATTCTTTTTTTTAAGATTTTATTTATTTGAGAGAAGGAGAGAGAGAGAGGGCATGAGTTGGTGGAGGAGAGCGAGAAGGATAAGAAGTCTCCCCACTGAGTGGGGAGCCCAATGTGGGGCTCAATCCTAGGACCCTGAGATCATAACTTGAGCTGAAGTTGGATGCTTAACTGACTGAGCCACCCAGGCACCCCTTTTTTTGTGTGTGTTCTTAACATCACTGTGACATTAAAGTAAGCTGTACTTTCTTTTTTCCTTCTCAACTTAAAACTAGCCTTTGGTGATATTTGGTAGGGGCTCCAAAGACATTTTATGGCCAAAAGAAGGTGGCAGGATACATAACTAAGAACTCTTCAGGTAGCTCAGGAGGTGTGTACCTTCCCAGCAAGGAGATCCCACAAAGGTACCGACAGGGGAGTGGGTAAGACATCTGGCTGAGCTAAACTCAGTGCCTGTTGGTAGAGCCACATGGGGTTAGATCAAATGGTGAAAAATGTCTCTTCATGTCAAACTTTTGTCCTTGTTCTTTCTCCAGGAAAAATAATCCTCTCTTCTGGACCATTGTTGCTGGGGATCATGACAGAACCCTGAAGGAACCAACAGGGCAGGTGAGAAATGTTTCTAAGGACAATTCTGCTGGTGTTCTAAGTGTTACCACATGCCGGGGAATGCCTTTAGCTAAAATATATAATTAAGTATTCATCTCCTAGTGCCCCTTTACACTAACTATTTATACCAACATTTAAAGATACAATCTGAGATCACAGTTTAATCAGAGCATTAAGGGAGGTAGGTCAGGATGTGCCAATTCAGGTCTGTGTACACAGGTGTACTAACCTGGTTTCTCCAGAACTGCCAGTCCTCAGAGAGTGGTTCATGGCCTCCTGAAAATTATCAACAGAGATTGCCCTTTTCAATTCAGTACAGAGTCTGAATTTCCCATGTATGGAAATGTAGAGGTTTAAGGTTTATTTTGGAAGTAGTTTGACTCATTGACGCGATCTCGTAATTGGCTGGCTCGCCACTGATACAGGTGAGGAGGGTAAAACGCATGGTGGTGCTCGAAGACTTCGATAGACGGAGCTCCGACTCGGACATCGCCCTGATACAGCTGAGCTCTCCTCTGAAGTTCAACTCCGTCGTGGGGCCGGTGTGTCTCCCGCAAAGCACGGAGCCGCTCCTGTCCTCGGAGATCTGTGCTGTGACTGGATTGGGAAGCATTAGTGAAGGTAAACGTTTTTGCTTTTGCCCACACATGACGGCCGGTTGTTAATTTTGCAAATTTGGCACGGAGATGATATCCAGCGGTATCTGCTTTAGCCCTTCTTCCTTCTGAAAGCTAGAACCCATGTTTGATTTAGTTGTAAGTGATCAGCCTATAATTAGGGTGACTAATTATAGGTAGGTTAGATCTGGGAAGGGCCAAGTCATAAGTCTTGTCGTCTTTGCCAGCCATATGTTCTCTGTCTCGACTATTCAGCTCTGCCGTTATAGTGCAAATCGGCCACAGACCTACGAATGTAACAGAAGGGATTGTGTTCCAGTAGTTTATTTATGAAATTTAAATTTCATATATTGTTCATGTGTCAAAAAATATTCTTTTGGATTAAAAAAAACCAAACATTTAAAAGTGTACAGACCAGGGGCGCCTGGCTGGCTCAGTCAGTTAAACGTCTGCCTTCGGCTCAGGTCATGATCTCAGGGTCCTGGGGTCGAGCCCCTCATCGGGCTCCCTGCTCAGCGGGAAGCCTGCTTCTCCCTCCCCTCTGCCACTCGCCCTGTTTGTGCGCTCTCGCTCTCTCTCTCTCTCTCTGTCAAATAAATAAAATTAAAAAAAAAAATAAAGTGTACAAACCAAACGAGTTCCCAGATTGTACTAAATAAGCCCAGGGATGGCACAGAACTGGCCCACTGGTTGTGGTTTGCTGACCCCTGGCCTAGGTGGTAGGGTTCTTAGAGCCATAGCAACATACTGACAGATCTGAATGGGTTCATGTTTGCGTTTTGCCTCTTTTCCCTGTATAAGATCATTTTCTCTTATGTCTTCCTTCTGTTTCTGTGTTCTTTATTTGGAATCTGCGAGCTTGGGGAGAGGAGAATTTATCTTTGACTGTGTACAGTGTACACGATCATAGCTTCCTGTATGACCTGTGGCCAAATTGCATTTCTTTTTTTTTTTTAAGATTTTATTTATTTGTTTGACAGAGAGAGAGAAAGTGAGAGCAGGAACACAAGCAGGGGGAGTGGGAGAGGGAGAAGCAAACTCCCCGCCGAGCAGGAAGCCCGATGCGGGACTCGAAGCAGGACTCGATCCCATGACTCCAGGATCATGACCTGAGCCAAAGGCAGACGCTTTATGACTGAGCCACCCAGGCGCCCCAAACTGCATTTTCCTAAAATGTGCACAACACCATATGAGGAGATTTTATTATCCCCATGTTGTAAATGAGGACATTATGGCTCAAAGATTTAAGTAACTTGCCAAGATCCCATAACTAATAAATATCAAAGCTAGGATTTAAAATTAGCCTGGTTCTGCTGATAATCTTCGAATGGCTTTTTTTTTTTTTTTTAACGTTTAGAATAAAATCTGAACTGTTGGTCTGGCTTGGAAAACTCTATGTGATTTGGCCTCCACTTACCTCTCCAAATTCTTTTCCTCCCTTTGTCCCCTTCAGGCATTGTGGTCTTCTTTCTTTCTCTTAAACACAAGATCTGTTCTGCTTTCTGAAGCTTGGAACACATTTGCTCTTCTCACAGCTGCCTCTTCCTCATTCTGTTCGCAGCTCAAACAGCATTCCCTCTTCCATCACTTTGCTGCTTCAGGACTGCCCTTCCATCACTCTCTGCATGACCCAGTTTTATCATCTCCTCACGCACAAATGTACTTGACATGCTCCAGGGTGCCTGGGTGGCGCAGTTGATGAAGCGGCTGACTCTTGGTTTTGGCTCAGGTCATGATCTCAGGGTCCTGGGATCGAGCCCCATATTGAGCTCTGCACTCGGTGGGGAGTCTGCTTGAGATTCTCTCTCTCTATCGCTCTGCCCTGCCACCCCCACTCACACACTCTTGCTCAAACATTCTCTCAAATAAATACATTTTAAAAATCTTTAAAAAAGAAAAAACATCATTCTCCAGGTCTCATGCATTAAAGCGGAAACCTCGTGGCAGCAGGTCTCTAATTCACCACTCTGCCCCAGAGCTACAGGTTTACCTGGCATAGAATAAACACTCAGCAAATATTTTCTTACTGGCTTCCAAGCCCTTGAATAAATGTACCCCTTCTCTGATACCCTCAATCATCACCTCCATGACCACCAGACAACTGAGAGGCGGTTACAGTCTTGTGAAAGACGAATTCATTCTTCCAATCTGAGAGAAAATGAGTTCTCAATTTTAAGACATGGTAAAGAATGGGGTTGGAGATGGTCCCTAAAAAGAGGATTTTAAATACCTTAAATGTATTTATGTATTAGATGGGTACATTAAAACGAGCACAAACTTTAGAGTCCGATCTCAGCTTAATGGCTAGTTCTGTCCCATGGGTGCTGTGAGATCAGATTTTGGGAGCTCTGACTTTTTTGTGAATGAGTTCCGTGTGATCATGTATGCGAGCAACCCACCTCACGATGTTGTATTATTGGGTTGGAGTCATATGAAAGTACTCTATAAATGTAAGGTAATTTCTAGTACTAATCTTAGCTTTTTTTTTTTTAATTAGTCAGGAATCCAAAATGATAGAATAAGTTGTGCAGAATACATGTTAACATGGGCCTGCCTGAGGGTCAGTTATGAGTGTTTTAGTGCTCATTGTTAGCCTTACAGCCTTCACTGTTAGTCCTTGTAAATTGGAGTTGAGATTAGTCTCAGTGACGATTAAGGAAAAAGGAATATGATTTTGGTTTATATTAGGAAATCATATAAACATGTCACATTTATAATATATTTTATTTATAAATATACTATGTAAAAACATATCATCACTTAAATCCTATACAATACCAATTCATATCTTGCTGAATTTTTCTTTCTGAATTCTCATGTAGCAATATTTGAAACACTAAATTTTGAATAAAAAATAAGCTAGAAAAAAAATGTTTCTGGTGTTGTTCTCCTGACAATGTATTCCTTTATGAAGATGCCACACTTGAAAATGAAGACATCCCGTATGAGACACTTACATTGTTTGGTTCAGTATTCCACATCAGCTCAGGCAAACCTGAGTGAAGGCAAATATAGTAGTGCAGAGCAAGTCTGAACTTAAATATGTTTTTTCACATAATTTGTTATTTACTTCATTATGAAGCTGTCTTTCTGGATCTGTTTCTTCAGCAGATGGCGGCTTAACAAGGCGCTTCCAGCAGATTCGGGTGTCCATGTTGGAAAGCGAGGGGAGCGAACGTACTTACTCCTCTCACCCAGGAGGGCTCACGGAGAAGATGATGTGTGCTGGCTTTGCAGACTCTGGAGGGAAAGATTTCTGTCAGGTGAGAAGACTCTGATTTTGCAGAGGAAGATCCAAGGTCGTCATCTGCTGGAGATTCTCCTTAGACAGGAGGAGACACTCAGAGGCACAGGTAACCTGGTAGCCCCACAGCATGCCCTTCCTGGAAGGCCAGTGGGACAACAGGAAGAGTGAATGCCTTACTCCAAACCCACTGAGAGGGCGGGAGCAGCCTAGGGGCAGAAGAGCAGGTGGGGACTAGGAGCCCATGAGCACATAGGGCCTCAGAGAGAGGCAAGGTTTTGGGAAAAGAGGAACAAGCAAAGAAGGATTCTAAGTAGGTGTATCCTACTGATGACTTAAGGTTTTTATTGTTTTAAAATTAATATTAATCTCCTATGTGCTCACATTTAATTTTCTACCACAGATTAAAATAAAATAATCATGAAAAAAATGAGAAACTTTGAAAAACTGGTTTGCATATGCAGTGGAAAACAAATCCCAAAACAGTAGTTTAATTTCAGATATTTAGAGGCAAAGTGGTATAGTTATATTCACGTGTCAGTTGGACAAAGGTGCTATTAACAAGTTCAAATCAGCCAAGAGGAAGACAATGTGGACGAATGGATCGTAAAACACCAGCTTTCATATCCACGAAGCCAAGTGAGGAATGTGACCTTAGATAGACAACCAAAAAGGGTCTCTGATGCTCTGTAACCCTCTTTCAATAGTTAGTTTGGATTTGAGGCAGCCTACTGATGGAAACGTTTGGGTCTTCGGGGCAGATATACTTCTCCGAGTTTATCATTTCATACCGGTCTGGAATACAGAGGGAAGAAAGGATGAATCAAGTCTGTGCTGCTTTTTGATCGTTTTTCCCTTAATCAAGAAATAAGAACCCATGGGAGAAAACTGGGTGTTAATCTAGGTAGAAGTCCTTCCATGTAAACATATGAGGAGAGAAGGAGGGAGGTCCCCTCTTAACACTGAGTATCTGTTTATGGTGGTTAAACCCTTCCCTGGTGTCAAGCACTAATCAAATTCTGTTTTCTTTATTTGAATTTGCATTCCCCAGAAGCTGACCTTGAGACAAAGATTCAAGTACAATGGTCTGCTTAGGAAGTGCAGACATCACTGGTAGGGAAGTCAGGAGGGTGGTCTAGGGAAGGGAAGGCAGGAAATGCGAGATGTGCTATGAAGTCAGCTACCACAGTCGGGGGACTGAGCTGAATCTGGCAGCAATGCAAAATATATGCAACGTATTTGTCCCATCCCAGGGGTGAGGGAGCTGGGATATTTATATACTACTTCCCCAAAGTCATGGTTTGAGGGCTACTGGAGGGGAGGGGTCTGTTGGTCCCTTTGCACTTTCCACTCTTCTGGTGTGCCTCATGGATGGGGTGGAGGAGGGGAAGAGCCCTCAGGCACAGAGCCAGGATGTGGCCTGGAAGACTTGAGGAATCTAGGAAGGGCGCTCACACCATCTGCTAAAGGACATAAATGCTATACTATAAATATCAAATAGAAAAGTGCTCTGAATTCATGTGGTCATTCCTCCCCTTTTGAGGGATGGTTTTTCTCTCTGCTTCGAATCAAGGAAATCACAAATGGCTCTGTTGTCTCTGTCATGTTTGACAGCATCTGACATTAAGGGGACACCTTACTGTGTATGAAGAGAGCAGAGGAGAATTAGGGAAGGAATTAGGTCCATGACAGAGGTGTGATCTTGGTGGGCATTTATTTCAGCTACATCCCTTGCAGCATGACCAAATTTGCTGCCCATACAAAGGGAGGAAAATAGGAGTTGAGATTCTGGCTAATAAATGTGTCTAGCTAAAGAATACTGAATTACTAACAAGGTGACTTCAGAAACTTTGATAAAGTGGACTCTAGTATTTCTATCTGGTAGTTGATTTTTACCCTCCTTTGTGTGCTCAGAAGTAATGGACCTGCTAATGTAATTTCTCACCCAGGAAGGTGAAGTAGAATGTTGGAATGAAGAGATGGAGTTTCAGAGATGCAGAGATGGAGTTTCAGAGATGCAGAGATGGAGCTTCAGAGATGCAGTACAGAATCCTATGCTGCTTTGCTCACAACACATCCTAGATTGTTTTTAAAATGTCAAATTCTTTGACCTACAGGGTGATCTCTGTCTTCCCAGAGTAGTGTATGTCCTGTTCGTGCTGACTTTTGCAATCTATTTCATACTTCTCTTGCTTATATATTTCAGCCACAATGATTATTTTCTGACCATACAAGTCACTACATCCTGCCTAATTTGGGGCCTTAGCCCAGATATCAATTCTGCATAAAATGTTATTCCTCCTGGCTTTAGAAAACCCAGCTCCTTCTCGTCTTTCATGTATCAGATCAAGTGTTATTGAAACTACATACACTTACAGAAGCATGTAAGCACACACAACTACCTCACTTTATTCTCTGCTTTTCGCTCTAAATATTTTCTTTAGAGCTATTATCACCATCTAATTTGTTTATACTTTGTCTTGCTCAAAATGCCTAGCCCACAGTAGGCACTGAATAATTCTTTAAAAATAAATAGGTACCATTTGCTTATTGACTATTTACCACATGCTAGGCCCTGTGATAGACCCTGACAATAGTAGATGAATTAGACAGGCTGTTTCTGAATCATGAAATGTTTGTAATTGCAAGAAAAATTCTTTATTTGGTATGCGTTCATACTGAATGAATAAGTAATTTAAAGAAAAAACAAACCTGACTTGACACATCAGACCACTTACAAACTGGAAAGAGGTCTTAAAGTATAACCTTATTTCATATGGGGAAAAAAAAAATAGGCCCAGAGAAAATGTTAATTGTTCTACATTACAGACAAGGGAATCTATCTCCTTATTCCCACTTCAGGATTTCTTCTGTGAAATTCTTCATATAAAATAAACAGCCACATCAAATATATTATAAGCTCAGTTTATTTTATCAGAAGACAAAGGATTTAGTTTGATTCTAAGTACATTTCTGTCAAAGAAAAAAGGGGCTGATTGAAAATCAGAAAGGCTACTTTAAAAGGCAAATCCTATGCTTTAAGGCTTTTTTTTAACAGGCTTATTGAGCTATAATTGACATATAACATTGTGTAAGTTTCAGATGTACAGTGTAATGATTTGGTGCACTTGTATATTGTGAAATGCTTACCACAGTAGAGTTAGTCAACACCTCCATCACCTCATATAATTACCATTTCTTTCTTGTGCTAAGAGCACTTAAGATTACTTTCTTAGCAACTTTTAAATATCTAATATAGTATTGTTGACCATAGTAACTATGTTGTACATTAGATCCCCAGAATTGTCCACGTTATAACTGGAAATTTGTACCTTTTGACCAAGATTTCCCCCATTTTCCCCACCTTCCCCCAGCCTCTGATAACTATCCTTCTACTCTGTTTCTTTGAGTTCAGCTTTTTTAGATTCCATGAATAAGTGATATCCTACAATATTTGTCTTTTGCTGTCTGACTTTTCACTTAGCACAATGTCCTCAAGACCATCCATGTTGTCGCAAATGGAAGGATTCTTTTTATTCTCATGGCTGAGTAATATATATTCGCCATATTTTTTATCCATTCATCCCGTGGCAGAAAAAATAGGTTGTTTTCATATCTCTGCTATAGTGAATGAAGCTGCAATGTATGGGAGTGCAGATACCTCTTTGATAACCTGTTTTTATTCCCTTTGGGTATATACCCAGAATTGGATCAAATAGTAGTCAATTTTTAATTTTTTAAGGAACGTTTATTTTATTTTCCATAGTGATGCACCAGTTTACATTCCTACCAACAGTGCAAAAGGGTTCCCCTTTTTCCACATTCCTTGCCAACATTTTTTATGTCTTTCTGATACCTATTCTAACAAGTGTGAAGTGGTATCTCGTTATAGTTTTGATTTGTATTTCCCTGATGATCAGTGAAGTTGAGCATCTTTTCATGTACCTGTTACCCATCTGTATGTCTTCTTTGGAAAAATGTCTATTCAGATCCTCTGCCCATTTTTTAGGTTGCATCATTTTTGTTATCGATTTGTATGAGTTGTTTATATATTTTGGATATTAACCCTTTATCAGATATGTGGTTTGCAAACATTTTCTCCCATCCCATAGCTTGCCTTTCCATTTTGCTGATTGTTTCTTATGATGTGTAGAACCATTTTAGTTTCATGTAGTTCCGCTTAATTGATTCTTTTGTTGCTTGTGCTTTTGGTTTCATATCCCTCCCCCCCCCAAAAATTGTTGCCAAGACCAATCAATGTCAAGGAGCTTTTTCCCTGTTTTCTTTTTTTCCCCCCTGTGTTTTCTTCTAGGAGTTCTACAGTTTGTAGCCTTATATTTAAACCTTTAAACTGTTTCAAGTTAATTTTTTTTGTGAGTGTTATGAAATAGGGTTCGATTCCATTCTTCTGCTTATGGTTGTCCAGTTTTCCCAACATCATTTGTTGAAGAGATTATCCTTTCCCCATTGAGTATTCTTTGCTCCTTTGTCAAATATTAGTTGCTGTATATGTGAGGGTTTTTATGGGCTCATGATTCTAGCCCTGTTGTCTATGTGTCTGTTTTTATGCCAGTACCATGCTGTGTTGACTATTATAGATTTGTAACATATTTTGAAATCAGGAAATGTGATGCCTCCAGCTTTGTTCTTTCTCAGGATTGCTTTGGCTATTTAGGGTCTTTGGGGGGCCCTTATGAATTTTAGGACTGTTTTTCCTATTTCTATGAAAAATGCAATTGGAATTTTGAAATGGACTGCATTGAATCTATAGGTGGCTTTGTGGAGTATGGACACAATATTGATTCTTTTGATCTGTGAACATGGGATTATGTTTTCCATTTGTGTCTTCATCAGTTTCTTTCATCAAAGTCTTACAGTTTTTAGTGTAGAGATCATTCACCTTTTTGGTTAACTTTATTCCTAAGTATTTTATTTTTTGGTGCTTTTGTATATAGGATTGTTTTCTTTATTTTTTATTCTTTTTTTCAAGTTTTTATCTAAATTCCAGTTAACCTACAGTGTGATATTAGTATCAGGTGTAAAATTTAGTGATTCAGTACTTACATACAACACCTGTGCTCATCACAAATGCCTTCCTTAATCCTGTTTATTTCTTTTTCATATATTTTTTTGTTAGTGTATAGAGACACAACTGGTTTCTGTATGTTTGCTTTGTATCCTGAAACTTAACAGTACTCATTGATTAGTTCTAATAGCTTATTTGTTTTGTTTTTAGTTCTAACAGTTTTTTGATGGAGTCTTTAGGATTTTCTTAGACCCTATCATCTACAAATAAAGACAGTTTTATTTCTCCTTTCTTGATTTACTACTCCTTCTTTCTTTTTATTTCTTTTTCTTGCCTGATTGCCCTGGCTAAGACTTCCAATACTATATTGAATAGGAATGGTGAGAGAGGGCACCCTTGTTTTGTTTCTGATCTTACCGGAAAAGCTTTCAACTTGTCACTATTGAGCATGATGTTAGCTATGGGTTTGTTAGATATGACCTTTCTTATGTTGAGATATGTTCTGTCTATATCCAATTTGTTAAGAGTTTTTATCATGAAAGGATGCTGCACTTTGTCAAATACATTTACTATTCAGATAATATGATTTTTAAACTTTCATTCCATTAGTGTGGTATATCACATTCATTGATCTGTGTATGTTGAACTATCCTTGTATCACTGGAATAAATCCCACTTGATCATAGTGTATGATCCTTTTAATGTGCTGTTGAATTCAGTTTGCTAGTATTTTGTTGAGGATTTTTGCATCTATGTTCATCAGGGATATTGGCCTCTAGTTTTCTTTTCTTGTGGTGTCCTTATTTGGCTTTTGTATCAGGGTAATTCTGACCTTATCTAATGAGTTTTAGAGTGTTCCCTCCTCTTCAATTTTTGGGAAGAGTTTGAGGAATGAAGTTAATTCTTTAAATGTTTAGTAGAATTCACCAGTGAAGCCATCTGGTCCTGAGCTTTTCTTTATTGAGATGTTTTTGAATAGTGATTCAATCTCCTTGCTCATATTGGTCTGTTCTGATTTTCTATTTCCTCATGATTTGGTCTTGGCAGTTTGTATGTTTCTAGGAATTTATCTATTTCTTCCAGGTTATCCAATTTTTTGGTGTATAATTATTCATAGTAGTCTAATGATTCTTTGTATTTCTGTGGTATCAGTTGTAATATCTTTGTGATTTTATTTATTTGAGTTTAAGTACTCTAAGGTATATGAATTGACAAATTATTAATATTTTTAAATTAAAGAAGTGTGTTATGAATAAATTATTGATTATTCCTGTTCCAAAATTGAAAGCAGGAGCTCTGATTAAAGTAAATTTTTAGAACACATTTTCTTGGTCTTTCAGGGAGACTCTGGTGGCTCATTAGTATGTAGGCATGAAACTGGTCCCTTTGTCCTGTATGGCATTGCCGGCTGGGGAGCTGGCTGTGCCCAGCCAAGGAAGCCGGGTGTATTTGCCAGGGCGAGTATCTTCTTGGACTGGATCCAATCCAAAATCAAAGGTAAATATTTTTCAGATATTATTATTCTTAGAGTAGGTTTGCGAGAAGTGAGTGTGGTAGAAATCAGCATTATGAAAGAAAAAAACCATAGAGTAGTATTTCATTTATTTTAGTTTCTAAAACATTAAAAGGCACATTACAATTCTGTAAGAATATGTTCTCCCTTGGGCAGAGTGGGAGTAAAACTGACTTTTCCTGGGGCTCCTGTAATCCTAGATTTGCATTTTCTTTTGACAAAAGCTGTTTTGGTATAGACTACATTTTGTTTCGAGGTTTTCATCTTTATTTATTTTTAGCATGTTCTCTCCAGGTGCAGGTCCTGCTTCACTTCAGATAAATAATGAAAGCAAAACCTTACCAAGACAACAGTTGCCACCACCCACACCCTCAACAGACAATGCATCTGGACCAGGTAATAGATGTTCATGTTATCCGCTTAATGCAGCTAGTAAGAATTTAGCAAAAAGCATGGCACGTCTGGGTTCGCTAATTTTCTTTGGAACAGGAACAGAATGCTTTCATTCTGGCTGGTAGTTTAAACTGAAGAAGGAGAATGTTGTTACTGTGACCGTCTGGGTTTCTTTTCTACCCCCACAGATATAGCCATTGTAGGTTAAAAAAAAAATCTTGTGGTTGTGAACAAATGCTTGAATTTTGGAGGAGTGCATAGAAAGAATTATTCTGACCTCTGATCCATTTATTCCTACATAAACAAAGGTCCTTAGATTTTCAGGTATCTCGCTAGGTGAGGACTCTGGATATGAGAGAGAACCACAATCAGCGTCAGTGTTAGTCACTCGTGATTCCCCCACAAGTGTCAGTGTCTGTTTGCTAATGCGATTTTTATTTTTTGTTAAAATCAGACTGCAACTGGAGAATTAGAAGTCTGTAATAGACCTGTAGGGAGATGAAAGTTCTATGATGCCATCATTCTTGGTTTCCAGGTGGTCACAGTCTCTTCGTTCTCACCCATCTCTGCCCCCATCCACCCCACATACCGTCAAGGCCAGTAGACAACTAGAAAGAGGTGGGGGAAGATTGAAGAGGATACAAGAGACAGGGTGAATTGCTAGAGTGATGACCTTCAGTAGGAGAGAAGGGATGAGATCTTGTGCTCAGCAGGAGGGGTTGGTCTCAGAAAGGAGCAAAGTGCATATATCCATAGTTGCTGGATGGGAGGCAGAATATTTATGCTGGCATATGGGTACATGTGGGGAAGGGAGTTTCTGGCAATTTTCTAGTTGCTTCTATGTACTTAGCGGATGAAGCAGGGTTGAGGAAGAGGGCTTGGGGGTTTTAAGAGAAAAAGAAAGTATGAAATAGTTCTCTAAAAAAGTGACAAAGTGCATGGACTAGTAAAATGTAGTAGGATTGCTGGGCAACATAAAAGCTTCTGAGATTAATGATCACGAATTTAGAGGGAGACTGACCAGTTAGCTTAGTTGTATGTATTCTTCTGGAGACACTGAGGGGTAGCACATAGTTGCAGAACAGATGGAAGGTAGATTCAATCAGAATGGGTTTTCCCAAGTATGCAAGATTATAAGGGTATTGAAAGCGTGTAAGAGGAAGGGATTAAAATGATGTATTATTGGAATTTAAGCTAGGAAAAGAGTGAATGAGGGTGAGAGATGAGTTAGGGACAAAGAACAGGTGGTTGGATAGATGAATAGCAAGTCTCAAAAGGTGAAAGGAGCATTGGAGGGAGCTGAGAAGATGGAAGATTGTGGATGGAGACAGCAGTGCTTGAAACAGAGCTATGGAAGGCTTGGTGTTATTGCTGGGGGCCAGATCCTGAGGGGCTCACTGCAGGGGTGGGTGGCTGAAGTCGGGTGGAGAACAAGATCATTGGAAGGAAGTTGAGAAATTGAGAAGCCTCAGTGATGGGCTCATCATCTATATGGCTACTGAAATCAGCAGGATTTATGGCAGAAATAGTGTTGGAGAAAATGACTGCTAAAATCTTCTAGGAATAAGAAGGGGTAATTCGGGGGCCATTTGTGGGTGGTATGGTCTGACAACATAAGAATCAAAGGGTCCTATTTAGAATAAAAGTGAATCTGGAATTGGGGTTGAGATGGAGCACAGATTTAGGCCCAAGATCCTAAAACCTAATGATTTCGATGGTTTGAATTAAATGAACAATTTTAATTAGTGCATAAGTAAGTGAATTCATGTCAAGCACTTAAAATAGGGATGGCATGATGAATGACAATAGTCAACAAGTGGTGGCCCGTAGTGACCAACTAATGTATTCATTGAATTGCTGTCCCATTCGGACTATAAAAAATGAACACCATTTTAATAGTGTAACTAGAGATGTTTCTCATTTGTGTATGTTCAGAAATACATGTGCATGCCAAAGACCTTTGCAAGTTTCACATGGGAAAGGGTATTGTTTTGTTTTAATTCTGTGAATATTCTATAAGAGAAAATGTTGGGACTATCCTATCTTTAGCATCCACCCACTCCCATCACTGGCTTTTTACACATGAGGATTGTTAGCCCATTTATAAAAAGAAGTGACTGGTTGGGAGTTCATGACTTTACATGATTTGGTTCATTTTCTAGGCAGATTTGTCATAGAGGATTCATGGGGACAGGAAAAAAATGATTGAAAAGACATTTGGGCTCAGACTCACAATTTCAGTTGTTTTGAGCAAGGGAAGAACTTAATTCTCTTGTTTCATATGCTATCCCAGATTGGAGGGCACAGGGTGGGGGAAGATTAGAGATTGGGAAATCAGTTAGGTTACTGTTAAATCAAAGTAGATATATAAATATCTAAATTAGATTATAGTAGCCATCTAAATGAAAGAAAGAATTTACAAAGAGGTAGCAGGACTAGGGAATTGAATAGAATCCTGAATTCTTACATTTTATCTCCCTTCTTCACCTTCTGCCACTCTTCATTTCTATTCTTCATGAAAGTATATTTATGTATGTGTCACCTGAGGTCGTTAATTGCTCTATGGCAAAGCATATATAATCATGTATTAATTCATACTCAGACATTAAAATGTGTTCATTTGAATACAGAGTATTTCAATTTGTAATTGCTCGGAGGATTTTTGTCGAGGGAATACACAGGGGAAGGAGGAGGAGTTGAGGGTGTAAGCTGAAGGAACAGCAGCTGACTGCAGGGCCAGTGGGCCAGAGAGCCCCTGGCATCTGAAGCTCTGCAGGTAGCTTTGCAGGTCCAAGGGTGCCCTTGGACTTCAGAGCAAGTGGAAGAAGTGCGAGACATTCAAATGTCTGCAGCACATCCTCCTTTTTTTGATCTCAGTCACGAATTCCACGAATGTAATCATTTGTCCCAGCAAGATAAATGCTCAGTGAAATTAGTGAAGCTTTTAGGAACAGACCTTCAGTAGCATCTCAAAGAAGGAAGGAAATGAAAGCATGCGGGAAGTAGAGAGTGCATACCCACTGTGCATCTCCTAAGGCATTTAGAAGATTCAGTGAAAAGAAATTTTAAATAATGATAATTTAAATTCTACTCCTACAACCTCATTTCAAGAAAATAGGACACATTAAATGGGATGATCATTTTTACCCAAGGACATGTAACAGAGAGTAATAAAGTTTTAATTTTCTTCTTGCAAGCCTAAATTTTTCAAGTTTGTCATAGATCCACGCTTTGCTTTGTTCATGTTGGTCCCTGGTGTGTGTGTGCTCTGAATTGTAGGTTGTTACTCTGAGGTGGAACTAGAAGAACCCAGAGGCTTTTTCTCAACTCCAGGATATCCACTGGATTATAGAGGAGAACTGGAATGTTCTTGGGTGCTCAGAGTGTCCCCGAACAGTATGGCAAAATTGACGGTTGAGTACCTGTCACTGCCTTGGTCTCCTGTGTGTCCAGATTCAGTTATGACTATTTACGAAGAAAGCCATGATGAGAGAAGGGTGGCAGGTAATCCTTGCTGGCATTTCAACCCTGTGCTGGGAGCCTTTTCTGTATATGCTGCTTACAATCACGAGAGAGCTTGACTTGGGTACCACTATCACCAAAGTGTTGATTCATGTAATAGGCATGCCTTTCTTTCTTTTTTTTTTTTTTTCTAAGGCACACTTAATATTTTCAAAACTTGAATTTACAAAACAGGTGTACTAGAGGTTGAGTGTGAGTGTGTGAGAGCTCAAGTTCTTCAAGCACACCAGAACCATGCCAGGATGCCCGAAATATATCCGATAGAGGAGTTAAGATGGTTAAAAATCAGATGCGGAGTGGGTGTTGGATTTTAAAATAAAGCAAAATATATTAAAGGCTTTTACAATGGAAGAATTAAAAATATTTGCTGATAACATGCCAGCGTGCGTGTGCTGGATTCGGGAGTATATGGAGGCCAGGGAGGTGCTCTTAAGGGAGAGATTGTGTTCTTGGGATAAATTATGAGATTAAAGCATTGAGTTAGAGGGCATAAACATTTATTTAAAGAATCTTTATAAATACTGTCTCATTTAGGGGCACCTGGGTGGCTCAGTTGGTTAAGCATCTGCCTTGTCATGATCCCAGGGTCCTGGGATTGAGTCCCGGGCTCCCTGCTCAGAGGGAAGTCTGCTTCTCTGTCTGCCCTTCCACCTGCTCTCATGCTCTCTCTCTCTCTCAAATAAATAAATAAAATCTTTTAAAAAAATACTGTCTCACTTAGACTATGGAACAAAGCTATTAATAATCTGGCTTATCCACTTTGTACATTTTTCTCCTGTGATCAGATGGCCTTCCCCATCCACCTTGATTAAAATAGCTCCAGATCTTCTTATAGCTGGAATAAAATCAAAATCCCTAGCACAACCTTCGGTCCCCCTCCCTGACTCACATGATCAGGTGCTGTCATTCTCACCTCAGGGCCCTTGTCCCGCTCCTTGTCCTAGCTCTTCAGAGAGCTCCTTCCTGACCTGTCCCTCACCTCCCTCAAGGCTTGACTAGATGTCACCTTCTTAACGAGGCCTACCTTAATTGCTGTCAACTGCATCACCTCCTGCCTGGGTAGTTCTTTGTGCCTCCCCCTTTCTTTAGCACTTACTATTTTCCAACATTATGATTTTTTTTTTCATGTTTGTGGTTTGTGTTTTCTCTATTGAATGTGAGCTTTTGGAGGGCTAAAACTTTCATCTCCTCATTTGAAGACTCTCCAGGGTCTAGAACAGTATGTGAGACTTAGAAGGCACTCAGTGAGTGAATGAATGAATGATAGGTCACCTCCTCAAAGAGGACTTCTCAGTCTAAAATAGCACCATTCATTCCCTCCCAAAGTCCTTTTCATCATATTATGTGGATCATTTCACTTGTAGCCTTGATCTCTATTTGAAATCATCTTCTTTATTTACCTGCTAAAATAAAAGATTCATGAAAGCAGGGATCTTGCTATTTTGTTCCTTACTGTATCTTCCCAAATTAGAATTATGCCTGGAGACATAGCATAATTTTTTTCACAAGTGTATACTGATAAATTACTCTTCAGAAAAGCTGAATCAGTTTTCACTGCCATCAGCAAAAATGGGAGCCTCTTGCACCATGAGTATAACTGAATAATATCAGTTTGATAGGCACTTTTACTTTTTTTTTTTTTTAAAGATTTTATTTATTTATTTGAGACCGAGAGAATGAGAGACAGAGAGCATGAGAGGGAGGAGGGCCAGAGGGAGAAGCAGACTCCCTGCCGTGCAGGGAGCCCGATGCGGGACTCGATCCTGGGACTCCAGGATCATGACCTGAGTCAAAGGCAGTCGCCTAACCAACTGAGCCACCCAGGCGCCCCTACTTTTTTTAATCATTAATGATTTTTTTTTCATATGTTTGTTAGCTATTTGTATTTTTTATTTCTTGTCATTACCATCCATTTTCTGAGTATTTTTATTGGTTTATAAAAGCTGTTATACATATATTTTTCCTTTGTCATAGTTGCAAGTATTTATTCATAAGGTTGTTATTTTCCTTTCATTTTTTTAAAAGATTTTATTTATTTATTTATTTATTTGAGAGCGAGAGTGCTCGTGAGTGAGGGGAAAGGCAGAGAGGAAGGGAAAGGGAGAGAGAAAGGAGACTCCCCGCTGAGCATGGAGCTTGACACAGGGCTTGATTTCATGACGCTGAGATCATGACCTAAACCGAAACCAACAATCAGACACTTAACTGACTGAGCCACTCAGGCGCATCTTTAATTTTTATTATATGTTGATGTAAACATTTAAAAACTTGTTTAAATCTGTCTATAAACATCTTTGATCTTTGATTTATCTCACTGCTTTTTAAATATTTATTGTTCAATCTGAGTTCAGAAAAAAATTTAATTATAAACTTCTTTAATCCTGCTGAAATGTTTTTTCTCATATGGTAAAGTGATGCTGTATCTTTTGCTTTAAGAAAAAATGATTTTCTTTCCAACTTGTAGCACTGTATTATATACTAGATTCTCATCTAAAAAGAAACATTTTCTGGGAAAACTTACCTTTATCTTTATAACCTATTGAAAACCCATGCTTGGCGATGTTGTGGATTAACTGAAGAATCCCTATAATTTTCCAATGTAGCATTTATTTGATTTGAAATTGTCAGCTTGAACCTTGTAGAATGGTTCTATCTCTTCAGATGATAGCTAGCAGAACTGCAAGACTATAATGGAGGTATTACCCTTTATTCAAGCCAGATAGTAGTCTTCTATACTGTAAAATGCTATCTTTTTCCCTGTGGGAGCCAGCAGCTCACTCATTCAACAGCTGCATTGATCTATACTTGTTACAAGTAAGTATTTGATCATTTTTCAAATAATATTTTGGGGTGCCTGGGTCAGTCATTAAGCATCTGCCTTTGGCTCAGGTCATGATCCCAGGGTTCTGGGATCGAGCCTCACATCGGGCTCCCTCTTTGATGGGAAGCCTGCTTCTCCCTTTCCCGCTCCCCCTGCTTGTGTTCCTGCTCTCGCTATCTCTCTCTCTCTCTGTCAAATAAATAAATAAAATCTTTAAAAAATAATAATATTTCAACAGCATTTACCCTAATGTGTTATGCCATTTAATATGTTTTGTTCTTTTCTCCTTCTCAGATATAATCTCTTCCTTTTCTTGCTCCACAAATACTTGTAAGGAGGATCTACTGGGGACTAGAGACCCAGTCTTCTTGTTTGTTGGGATTCAGTAGTGAGCAAAATGGACAAAAGAAATCCCTGCCCTTATCAAGCTTATATTCCACTGGGGAGTGGACACATAATAAGAAAATAAAATATGCAGTGTATTAGGTAGATGAGCTATGGGGAAAATGAAGTGGGAAGAAAGAGAAGAATCTGGGATGTAGGTGTCATATGGTCATATGCAGTATAACCAGCAAATGTCTTTCTGAGCAGGTGATATTTAAATAAATGTAGGATGATACTGAGTAGTAGTAGAGGAGTTTGATCCTAAGAAGATCACAGGTTCTTTTTACACCTTCTTAATCAGCGCTCTGAATTGTTTTAGAATTATGGTTATAATTTTCCCTTTCAGCTTTGACTCAGGTCCTCAACCTAAAGCAATCAACAGAAGATTGACTGTAGAGAAAGAATAAATTTTCAGATAGAAGTTTTTCCACCATAGATTTTTCATAGTGAGATATTTTTAATAAGTAGGTTACTTTACTAGAAGAAAAATGGCATATCAGCATCATTTTAAAGATGAAATCATTTACCTCCTACTGTCCTTCAAGGGATCAATAGGACATAGTAGACTATGATGAGTACTGGATTCATGGGCCTGGATTTAGATCCTGAGTCCCCACGCTACCAGTCTGACTTTGGGTGAGTCACTTGAGTTCTGGAGCCCTGTTTCCATCATTTTGCAGAGTGAAATAAATTCCTCCCTCATGGGCATAAACTTTTAACTAGTAGACAAGTCCTGGAGATCCAATGCACACTATAGTGAATATAGTCAACATTTGTATTATAATCATCAAACTTGCTGAGGGACTAGATCTTAATTATTTTCACTACAAAAAGAAATGGTAATTATGAGAGGTGATAGAAGCTAACTATCACTAGAATGGCAGTCCTATTACAATACATAAATGTATCAAATCAACATGGTGTACACTCTAAATTTATACAATGTTACATGTCAAATATTATTTCACTAAAAATAATTGTTATACCTAAAGTAGAGAAACTGCTAAAACTTTTTTTTTTGTAATTCTTGTGTTTTACTAGATTTCATTTTTTAAACCTAGGTGAATTATGTGGAAGAGGGCTTTACCCAATGATTTTCATGAGCTCTGGACCACTGGTGAGAGTGGCATTTCATTCCCTTGTGCAAGGTGCTTTGGGCATAAGTTATATTGTCTTTAGAGTCCAAGGTATGCTTCGTCCTTTTATAAACTCATAAAGTTAAAAATCAATGTTTTTCTTTTTAGAGCTGTTTCAAAACGTATACATTGTTTTGTAAGAAATGGTGTTTCTGTGGGGAGTTTATGTAGAAAGGAAAATCTATTTAAGGGATCTGAGATTGGTCAGATTTAAAAGAGAAACTGCTCAGTGGAGAGCTTGATTGACTTGTAAATCATCCAGAATTGTGATTTCTGGATGTGGCTCCGACATGTTGATTTCAAGACAACATTTTTTATTGTGACGTGATTTTTATGCCACAGACGGCCTTTTCTGTGGATTAGAATGTAAGAGTTCTAACTATTAGCTGGTCGACTAGTTATGGATAATTTATTATCTCTGTATTAAAGTTTTCTTTATAGTGATATTATAATAATAAAAGGTTAGAATGAGTTTTTAAGTTAAACTACACAAATATTAGATGCTACCATTGTAAATGTAAATGCTATGCAATTCAGACTTATCAGATTGCATTTTAGAACAAGTAATTAATAAGGCTTTTTATAAGATTTTATGTATTTATTTATTTATCGGAGAGAGCACACAGCAGGGGGGAGCAGGCAGAGGGTGAAGCAGGCTCCCTGCTGAGCAAGCAGCCTGATGCAGGACTCGATCCCAGGACCCTGGGATCATCATGACCTGAGCCAAAGGCAGACACTTAACCGACTGAGCCACCCAGGCGTTCCTTAATAAGGCTTTTTGACTTTCATAAGTATAGGTAACTAAAAGCTAATTTCTCTCCTTGGCACCAAAAAGCATTACAGAGATATACTTGGGGAAAAAAGTTCAGTGAGTAATAAAGAGAAGCGTGCATATCATATGAAAGTGTTTTCCTAAAAAAACTATAAGAATGTTGCTTTTAGATTAAGTTGTACAGAGAACTGGCATTATCTATAGTTTTTCCACATTATCTTCCGTCGACTTGAGGCTGTGCCAAAGACAATTCTGAGAGAAGTGCTGTTCTCTGTATCTTTGAATGATTCAGATAGAGACTTTTCAGTGAAAATAACCACTTCTGTTAACATTTTTCTAAAACAGGGAGGGAAAGTGACTTCTCTGATAAAAGGCATATAATAAGCCTCTCAAAAATTAATTTTATTTTCATTGCCTTTTTTTTTCTTTATTTTTAGGTCCAAAGGGCAGCAAAACTACCAAACTTCTCCAGAGTTCAAACCAAGAACATACAGCCACTTGGGAGGATGTTATCCTGACTAAACCAGGAGGAATCATACAGATCCCAAGATACTCTCACAGAACCATTATGAGGTGAGGAAGGAATGTTTATTATGATGAAAGAAGTTTGTGAATGATCCCTTGACAAGCAGCAACCCTTGCTTCAGGCATTATTTTCCACCTCCTCTCCTTGAAGAATAGACTTTGAGGTGAATCCCTGGTCTGAGGCCTTCAGTATACAAAAACTGAATGTAAGATTGTCCCTGTTGATAAATTGTGTACTTCCTCCACAAAAGAGATCATTTATTAGGTAAAGTAGAAAGTCAAATCTCTATCAAACAGTTTTGGAGTTTGAAATAATGTATGTAGATGGTCTTCTGGCACATATTAGGTACTCAATTAATTGTTCTTGAATTGACAAAATAGAGAACTTTCCTCGAATTAAACAACAGAATAAATTTAAAGTGTGAAGTGAAAAGTGAAGATTTGTATAATATCAGTCCTGAGTAGACTTATGTGATTTGAGGGAGTTTGGGGCAAATTCAGACAAATTGCCAACCAGAATTTAGAAGACTATGCATGATTGACCAGCCATTCACCAGGACAGGTGAACTTAATTAAAACTCTTAACAAATTATTAGAAATATTTTTAATTGTTACAATTTAAAGTAAAAAAATCTTTCACCCTAGCACAAAGAAGCAGATAGCGTCAATAACAGTGATGCATAATATTCTGAACGAAGTCAATCACAGTCTATGCTATTTGGAAATCATTCCGGACTTTCTTTTATCTGTGTTGTAGTTGCCACTGGAAGTTATCAGCCCCTTTACAGCACGTCATTCGCCTTGATATTATCAACTCCCAGATGAAGCCGACGCCCTTGGCCTGTCAGGGTCACATGTGGGTTTATGAAGGATTTGGATCAGGCAAAAAACTAATAGGTAACTAATATCCCATGAAGAACTATGCTCTTGATTTTTTAATGAAATATTCCCAGATTGTTTTGCATTCAGTGTGACTTACAGATGATGTGAATTATGTGATACTGAAATAGCCTTACTATTTTTTAGATTTGTATTTGAGATTAAGCTAACACTCTCTCAGACTGAGTTAAAAACAATACCCAACTATGTGCTGCTTACTTGGGTTATACCTAGATTAAACTTGCCGAGAAATACTAAAAATAAAGAATGGATAAAGCAGTTTTAGACAAATGTAACACACAAAAAAATTGGGACTATAATATTAATCAGGCAAAATAATATCCACCAGAAAACGCATTAAATGGGCTAATTAATTAGATAGTAGCTGGAAACCTCATTACATTGACTTACATTGATTTTTATGAAAGAAAGAAAAATCCAGAGTTTTCCAGATGTGCCACAAACTCAGTAGTTCAACTCTGTCAAGATGAAGGTATGGCAGTTCTCTTGGCCTTTCCCTAATGTTTCCATAATGGCTATTTCAGTTCTTGGCATTCCATAGAGGAAAAAGGAAGAAGGCACACAGAGAAGGAGTACACCATCGAGAAAACACATTTCCAAGAATCCTATAGCAGATTTAAGTCTCTTTGGCCCGACTGGGAAATGACTAAGGACAAAGCGAATGAAATGGGGCTTGAGCTGGCTGACCAATGTTACCCAATGTGATGTGATAATAGCAGTCCAGATGGAAACCTGATGGCGCTGGATCCAGATCTCACTTCTACCACATAGTTAAATGATTTGGGGAATGTTCCCAAAGCTTTCTCAGACTCTGTTTCCTGAATTGTGACAAGAGAATAATAAGATCTATCTTAGCTTTTTATGTAATTTATAAGAATAGACACCCCCCATCACTACCACCCCACACATACGTGTGTGCTATAAATTCTTAATTTACTTAGGCAAGGACACCTACGCCTGATGAAACCAGGTGGCTGCCCATAGGGAGAGGATGTGTGGCATGATGCTGACCTTTGACTCCCTAAGAGAGACCCAGATGCCAATGTCCCTCTTCCTTCTGGCAGATAGGATCCTGCCAGAGTTGATCAAACAGCCAGTTGCTAAACCACCACCCTTTTATTCTTTGGACTTACATTACCATCCTAGAAGTAGATACACTAAAAATCTCCATGTTTCTACTTAAGGAAACGTTAATAAACACTGATAGTTCCTGGTTCCTGAGCCCACATACTATCAATGAGGCCACAGCTTCTTGTGGAGAGAATGCAGAATCTGCCCCCAGCATCCCTGGAAATTATCTACACTTCTTCCTTTCTTGCCAGGATGTCTGTTACTGGTACTGCCAATGAGATTGTTTTGAGAATTAGATGAGAGAATGCATGGTAATATAAAAGAAAGCAAACTTCTGTCATGTTTGAATTAGAAATATATGTTTTTATTCCTATTCTTAAAATTGTGTTGCTTAGAAGAAAAGGTTAGACTGTGGTTTCCCTAGTGCCTCCCCATCAATGGGGTGTCAGAGTACACAAATTTTGGAAGAACAAAGAAATAAAGAAAAAAGGGGAAAGAGTATGTTAGTTGTATTAGTTACACTTTCTAATGTTAATGAACTATATACCTGTTTTTCTTAGAATATGTTCATAAAACATGTACTATTTCCTATCTCCTTCCTAAAATTTCAGTTTTTGCAAGTGAAGTATACAAGTTACAGGGGTTGATTCAATGCGTGAGGTCGATAGGTTACTCAATATTAAACATAACCAAATATAATTTATCTCAAGAATGCAAGGATAGTTTAATATTGTAAAATGTACTGCATATAATAAAACTACCATGTGAGGAAAAATAGATATAAGTTAAGTATACAGCAATCACATCCTTAAAACCATACAGTAAAATAATAAAAGATGTAATAGAAAACTAATTTTATTTATAATTAGCGATGAAAAACCTACAACTAGGAATAACTGTTAAACAAAACTCAACCAAATAAATTTGAAGGTCTAACTGGCTTTATTAAGGGACTTCAGCATTGAGCAGCATGCCATCTGGCAAGTAGAGGGATGCTCTGAGGAGCTGTACAAAATGAAAGGATTTTATAGAAAGAGGGCAGGACGGTTAGCAGAAGAAAAGAAAGGGGCTCTTATACAAATTACCTCCTCTTCCTTTGGGGAATGGAGAGGGCCCATGTGACACTGTATCTCATTGGTACTGACCAGAAAATTCCCCACTGACTGGTTAAGACTGCATTTCTGGGGGAGGTTGAAACTGCAATTAGGTTAGGTATTAAGCCCCACTAACTCACGTAAGTGACTCCATTTTGGGCCCGTGGTTTTCTTTTCAATATAACCCTAAAATTAAATATGAGATTTATTGTGCAGATATAAAACTTTACACACATACACCCAAGCATAAAGATATGAACAGAGAAATGTACCATGTTCTAAAACTGGAAGACAGAATTAACATTTATTCACCAAATTAATGTATAAGCGTAGTGTAGTTCCCAGCAAAATCCCATGGGAATTTTTCTTTTCAGAGAGTGAGATAGAAACTAATAATAACTATTTATCTTTAAAATAAATAGGACTAACTGAAAATGTTTTGGGAGACTCAGCCCTGATTAAATTTCAAGTTAAAACCAGAGTCCCCAAAGGGTTTTTGTTTTTGTTTTTGTTTTTTTTTGTGATGAGACAAATTATCAAATATTAAAACATACTTTAAAACAATAAAATTAAAACAGTAGTACATACACATAGAGACACACATGAGTAGAAATAGAATAAAAGGGAAAGTATAAGATATTTATAGATGATAAATTTGGCAATACAAATCAGAGAGGAAAATATAAATTATATTTTTCATAACTTTGTACAAGAGCCAATTAAAGAGTGAGGCATTTTTTTACAAAGTAGAAAAAAATGGGTAATTAACTTTTGATGCAGAAGGACCTTCTCATATAAAAGCAATAGGAGAAATAGGAAATTATCAATAAATTCCTATGTAATTAAAAACTTTTCTGCCTCAATAGAAACAAAATTTAAAAACAAGTAACAAACTTGGGATTTTTAACAGGTCTGAGAAAGGTTTAAGGTAAATAATATAGGGAATGTTTACAAATCAGTATTAGAAAAGTTCAAATCTGTAATAATAAGTTTATAGGCCCCAATATCTTTGATGCAGCTGTGATTACATTTCAAATTAAAACCAGAGTCTCCAAAGCTTTTGATTTTTATTTTGTTCATTTCCCAAGAGATGACAAACTATTGACCCACATGATTTTGAGAAACTAAAGCCCTGGATTAACCATTAGCCTCTTTTCACAGATAAGAAATGTTAGTGAGTATTCACCTGTCAGTTCCTGTACAATCTAAATTAAATCTCTTACTTTGTTTCTTGTCACAATGAAGTTGATCCTCTGGACGTCTGTTTACTAAAGAAAGCAGAGTTTTTCCTGTAAGAGAGAAAAGCTTAATTCTTAGGATTGTTGACTTGAAACCTTGATCCTATTGAATGTTAGAGCAAACTACCTTTGTTAGAATGTTTATTTCAGAAAAATACTATGTATGATCACTTAAAGCTAGAAATGATTTGTCATAGAAAGCATGCCAATTGCCACACCTTGCCTCTTATTCATTTGGCTATGCCGTGGATAAATGAAGATTGTATGTAGCTGAGGCTCAAGTATGCTCCCTATATATGATTATTTTATTTCAGTGTGGTGACAAGAATAATTGTTTAGTTCTCTGAGGACCTAGCTAGACCATGTCATCTTCTTTTATAATACATCACTTTAAAGAGATCTACCTAGGTTATTCTAGCCATTGTAGGAACTGGGTCCTGTGCTCTAGTTGGTTTAGAGCCCTGTCCTTAGAAATGCGTAGATTTAGGAGTCTGGAATATCTTTCTCTCTATTCTAATTGGGTTTTCTTCTGCTTAATTTTCTCATTTTTGTATTCTTGGGAGTGGATATGGTATAAATTCGTAATTACAAAAATAAGATTTTTTTTCTCTTACTTTGCTCAATAACCTTTGCTTTGATAAGTGGTAAGTTTGTGTATGCTTGTTTTTTCTTTATTTTGGGCTAGGAAAATTGTGTGGAGGAAATTCACCTTCATTAAAATCTCATGGTCCTCTAGTCATGCTGATTTTCACATACAATGTCAGTTGGGCCATGGAAGAATTTTCTTTGAGATATTCTTTTCATATTTCTGGTAAGCCTATTGCTTTCATATATGTTTATGTGTATGTTTTTGTTTTGCGCTTTATTAGGAAAAATCTGTCATTAAATAGATTGAATTCTCTCTTTTGTCTGCTTTAGAGGAGAAGAAAAAGAACAGTGTTTAAGGTATGACTTCTGTAGTCTGTGGAGGCCCCAAGCTAAACCTCTATAAAGTAAAAGATTGATCAGATCTGTCATTTTTTCTTAAAGCACCAAAGAATTTTGTCTGTTTTTCTGGGTACTTGGATGATTATAACAATATAGGAGGAAACTTTTATCCCTAGCATAAAAGTTTCTAGTAGATTTTCTCTTCTGAAATTAATTTCCTTAATGTACTAGTATATTCTTTTTCACTTGTTTGATGGACAGTTCATTTATATTGGTTGCAACCAGATTATTGAAAAATATGCTTTGCCCAACATTCCCGTGACTTGGGTGAAGACACTGATAGCATTATGAAAATTGAGAACTATTAATTTGCAATTGAGGTTTAATTCTGAACAGTTATTAGAATTGCTTTCGTCCTTAAGATTAATCAATTTATACTCATTAAAAATGTTAACTGGAATACAATTGGAGAGGCATTTCTACTAAAAGTATTTAATTTAGTCTGGTAACAGTCTCTGCCCTAGTAGAGTTTATAATCTAGTGGGAGAGATAGTCAATAATCAAATAATCACATAGAAAAAATATAGAGTAAAACTATTGTTTTGAAGGAAAAATACAGTGTACAGTAAAAATATACAGTGGAGGGATCTTAGTTTGGTAAAGGATGACATTGGAATTGTAGGAAAACTTTAGTTTCTTTGTTTCCTTATCACAGAACTCCATGAGATTTATTTCTACTCCTCTTTTGCCCTCATTTTTTTCTTAGATCCATTCCCATAGGGGATGTCTTTGTTACCATTCCACAGGCATCGGTCTTACCAAAGTTACCAATGACTTCCCCCACCCCCCCAAGTCCAGATCCAAGAGATCCTTCTCAGCCATAACAACGTTTGGCACAGAAGAGCTCTCCTTACTTCTAGAATCTACTTGTCTTGGCCTCCAGGAAACCATTCTCCTTAGCTGTCCTCTTACTTCACTGATCTCTTTTAGAGCCTCTTGACTGGTGGCTCTTCATTTTCTCTACCACTAAAGGTAGAGGTGTCTCTGGACCCAGTCTTTGACTCTCATTTCTTCTTTACCTGTACTCACTCTTTAGTGACCTTACCCAATCCCTAGCTTTCACTACCATCGATATGCAAATAACTCCCAGCTTCTTTTTTATTTTTGACCTCCAGCTCTGTATCACCAGTTGCCTCCCGCTCCACTTGGATATCTGATAGGCATCTCAAACTTAATGCTGTTATCTCCAAAACCTGCCACTGTGCCTCGTAAATAGCTGGTGTACAATAACTGTTTGAATAAAGGCAATTACATTTCAGCTGGGGCAGATTAGGGAAAAGAAGGTGAGGAGGTAGCTCCTTATCCAGTAAATGGGTAAGAAATAGATCCATTTGCTTATGGGAATCCTGCTGGCTGAGAGCCAATGTATGAACAGGAGTCAACTCAGGAGACTGTTATTATACATACTCAATTTCTGTGTTCAGATAAACATAGAAAACCATTAGTGCAGCTATTTTACAATGACAGCAAAATTTATAACCCATGTGTGTAGTTTTTTAAAGATCTGACTCCCATCATTCATGTTTTTGAGATTACAAATTAAAATATATCAACATGAATTATGTTATATCTATGTGAATCAAAAATATAGAATCATTAAAATTTATGTGAAATATTGAGTAGTATGAAAAATGGTCACAATAAATTAAATGGAGGAAAAAAATTTTAATTGTGTAAAATGGCATACAAATTTTTTAAAAATGTATGCATAGCATAGGAAAAGACCTGGCCAAGTTTATGTTAAAATACGAATATTGGTTATTTATAGGCTGGGACTACTGGAGACTATTTTCTTTGAACTCTCTGTAGTTTGAAATTCTTTTATAAGTTGCATATATCACTTTTATAATCAGAAGAATAAAGAAATAGAAAGTATTTAGTTGGATGTATTGACACTGAATATTCTCTTATTCTAGATTCCATGAGAGGAAAAAACAAAGTTAATGATAAAGGTAAGACTATAATGGAGGTAAGGAATCCCACTGGCTTGACTTTGGTTATATGATATTATGAAAATAGAGTGGAAAATGCCCTTGCTGCTAAACACTGTGTAGTAAGAAGTGCACTCTGACTTCTGTTAAAAACGTTCAGGTGTTTGTGGTGTGATTCTAGTCACTTTATGCTAAAATGTGTATTTGTATTGATTGCCTTAATGTCAAACTTTGAGGGTAGTGGAGACCTGGGCCCATTAAGGAATAGAGAATGAGGAGGTAGCACCTTAATTACTGGGTGAGAAACACATCTGTTTTGTTAATGGAATCCTTGTAGCTACGTGAAGTCTATTTTTTTTTTTACGTGAAGTCTATTCATTGCCATTCTTTCCGTATACTTTTTGTCTTTTGGATTACATATATATTTTTTGTTTTCTTCTTCGCTGGACCATTGCATAGTGAAACTAAGGTGATAAGATTATTTTTTTTTTTTGAAGATTTTTATTTTTTATTTTTTATTTTTTTAAAGATTTTATTTATTTATTTGAGAGAGTGAGAGAGAGAAAGAGCACAAGAGGGGGGAGCGGGAGAGGGAGAAGCAGACTCCCTGCTGAGCAGGTAACCCGATGCGGGACTCGATCCCGGGACTCCAGGATCATGACCTGAGCCGAAGGCAGTCGCTTAACCAACTGAGCCACCCAGGCGCCCAGGTGATAAGATTATTGATGAAGTAAATCAATTTTTGGATGACATTGCTTTCAGGTTGGATGATACCTAGGACTTTTGGTGTAGGCCCAAGTCTACTCCAAAATTGAATTCTTCAATTCTCTTTTTTGGTGTAGCCCCTTAGCTCTTGTGAATCTTAATGTCTATGTTTCAACTATCTGAGAGCTAGCCAAATTTCCCTAACTGATAAATGTTTGCAATTTGAATTGTATGTGCCATGAGGCTGAACTTGAGGAGCACATAATTTATTCAGAAATTCAGTCTAATGAGGACCCAGGTCTACTTCTCAACCTGCTTGCCCTGTTCTCTGCTCACATTTTAATGGTGTCGAAGTTCTCTTTTTCTGCACTGTATGGGAAATAAATATTATTGTGGCATTTGCAAATTTGGGGAAGTCCTAAAAGTCTTAGGACATACCTGTTGAAGATCAAAGTGATAGATCACTATCATCTGTGGACTGAAGATGATAAAATCTATTTCTCATGATCATGAACATTAAGATTGTATATTAATTAAATATAAGCAACAAACTACACTGAAATGTGTATGTGGGTGATTTAGCAGTTCACAGTTTGTGAAATGAAATCAAAGAACTTCAGTCTGTCTTCTTTAGGAGGGGTCAGTTTTTCAAAACAAAAGTCATTTAAATCCTGTGTCAGTATACATAAGGAACTATGGATATGAAGAAAGAGTGACAGATTAATAAAATTACACTACATTTAGGTTGTAATGACATAGTTGCAGACATTAAAACTAGATTCAGAAAGTAACTCAGCTCCTGGATTATTGTGTTAAATAATTTTTTTCTTTTTTGCTTCAAGGATGTCCAGTATTGGATTTGATTCCAGTTAGTTCTACTGAGATCACATCTCCCAATTATCCTAACATTTATCCCAACATGCTGAACTGCACTTGGACTTTTTATTCCAAGTCAGGAAATAAAATGAAGGCAGTGATGAAAGACTTTACAACAGAAGCATCTTGGAACTGTGAATGGGATTATTTCAGTATTTATGATGGACCAGATCAGCAATCAAGATTACTTGGTAAACTGATCTTTCTTAACTGGCCTACATTACGTGGCACTTATATAAGCATTTATACAATGCATATATGTGGAAAATATGACCTACACTTGCCTTGGGAAACATAATTTGTTATCAGTGATTTTTCATGAGATCCTTCATCAGAATCACAGAGCTTTATTGAGCACAGTGGGATGAGTTTGAGCCCACACTCACTGGATCTTCACCTGTAAGTCTAGCTCTTCCTGATTTTAGCCTGATTCCTATCCATTTTGCCATTAGGGGGCACCCTAATTTTGTTTTTCTAAGGAAGTCCTATATTTTAAGAGGTTTCAATTTCTGAACTGCATTTTTAGGTAACTTTTTGAAAATTTGTTTACTCAAATTTCATCTTCACCGTAAAAGTGACCCTTTTTAGACCCAGGGTAAATTTAAGAGGAGAAAAAAGCCAATTAGTTTGAATAATCTTTAGAGATTTATTGGCCACATGGTGTCTATCACACTTGACTGTCAGGCAATATCCTTTCTGAGACTGACTCATAGAAGAAAACTTTTCCAAAGATTTTTTGATCTAATACTGCATCACCTTCTTCAGTCTCCAACGAGTTCTGCTCCTCAGGACGCCATTAAAATCCACCTATTCCAAAGAGCAAGAGGAGAGTTTTGATACTATCTTTTTCCAGGACCTTGACCTCTCCTGTAATATTATAAGATATATAACACCAATAAGCTCAGCAATTTGCTTTGAAATTCTAAGGGTCCCTAACTTTTTCCCATCAGTGAATTTGGTTCCCGTCAAGGAATCTCAAGCAATTAGTGTTGGGTAGGGGGATAGATGGAACATTTCAAGCTATTAGTTCTCCTTAAGATTAATATGAGTATCAGACCCTATAATCCTCTTGCCAGTGCCCTTCAGCCAAAGATGCCAGGATCACAGCATGGGGTATCTCAGTAAGGGGGGTTGAACTATTATAGGATTTGGGCTTTGGTTAGGTAATTTTGGAGAGGGTCTAAGGAAGTGGACTTGGCTCTAGATTGGTTGCTGTTAGGAAGTGGAGCAATTTTATGATTGGGATCTCAATCATAGGGAGGCCTGACTTGAATAAGGGTAAGACTGCATTTGGTAAAGAAGTGGCAAGCCCTTATTTTAAGAGAGGTCGAAGTTTGGTATTTTGGTGGTTGCACATGACCTTGTTTTGGTCTCACCTTATCATAGGTTCAAAGAGTCCTTTCTGATGTTGCTGTTCTGTGAGATTGTTTATGTCCAGTAGGAGAACAACATGGTCTAGCTGTGCGTGCCAAACCTGTTTCTGAATGTCAGGGGCTACTTTTCTCTTTCTTACTCTTTAGTATTCTTCCATCTAGCAACATTCAGAAGTGTCAAACAATTATAAATAAGACTAGTCATATTTTTATAATCAGCTTATATAAATCTCTATAAGAAGGAAGCTATCATTAGTTTGATAGTTTATACAATTTTATATATATAATTTCATTTCAGTCAAACATGCAATTTATATAAGCATTTTTAAACCATGGAACATGGATTCCCATTGCTAATCTCCCAGCTAGTGAAACAGGCTATCCCATATATGGAACCACATTAACCTTTCTTAATAAATTTTTTTATTCATGTAAGTAGAATTCATTAGTTTTTAAGTAGTTTTTAATTATTTGTGTATGTGTAAATGAAGTGGTCCCTAACACCCAAATAGTTTCCATTGCAACGCTTTTACAATATTTTAATGAAAATAAATTCATGGTCTTCTTTCATTTGCCCCATGAATGTAAGACATCAGTAACCAGTAAACACTATATTAAATGTACAGTTTGAATTCATTCATTACCGAGCATGACCTAATGAGTTGGGCACACTGGAGACACAATGGTGAACAAGTCAGAAATGATCTCTGCCATCTTCTCTTGGAAAGACAGACAATAAATAAGAAAATGATAATATTATATAACGATAAATAATCAAATTATTCCTGCTTGTCAAAAGTAATCTGAAGGAGGTAAGTTGCAGAGGAAGGGTACATTTCCTCAGTTCATTCAGGTGTCTGTTCAAATGTTGCATCTAAGGCCTGTGTCACATGATGTAAACAGGTCTCTGCCATCTCTTCTTTTCGGCATTTATCATGACCTGACAGAGTATGTAATTGTCTATAATCTGTCTCCCTCCACCAGAATGAAAATTTCCTGAGAGCAGGACTTGATCTTGTATTCGTTGCTGTATCTCCAGCACGTGGGTAGAGCACTTCCTAACATTTTGTTAATATTCGATGAAAAAATAGGTGAGAAAATGGCCTTGAATGTGGAAAAAGCTTGGTAAGTTGGAGTAGTGTCAGGGGTCAGAGTGATTGGAGACTGAGCAAGGACAGACTGGAGCGAGGTGAGATGGAGGCTTTGCCCCTGTGCAGCTCGGGCTGTGGTAATGAGTTTGAATTTTGTTCCAATCCACTGGGAGGCTGTAAAAGGTGTTTGACAAGGGAGTAATTTGAAAGATGCTCTAGCTGCTGTGTCAGGAGTGAGTTTTTGGGTGGCAGGGTGAAGTCACAAGGCTCTTGTGTTATTCTAGACCTGCACTGTCCAGTCCAGGTTGTTGTTTAAATTTAAATTAGTTAAAATGAAATAGGTGGTATTGGCCATATTTAAGTGCTCAATTTGCTGCATGTGGTGAGTGACTCCTATAGCGGGCAGCCCTCATACAGAATGTTCCATCCTTGCAGAATGTTCTGTTAGTACTGTTTTCAACAATAGATATTGCCTTATAAGAGGATGGCACCAATGGTGTGCAAGTGAAGCGGACAGATCTGGAGAGAGAACTAATAGGGTTTCCGGGAAGATTGCATATGGGATTAAATATGCAAATCAAGGATGACTGTGGTGTGAGAGGTTAGCATCTACAGAGATGGGGAATACCGGAGGGAGAGATAGATTTGTGGGGAGAGATCTGTTTGGGCCACTTTAAATTCTTAATGCTATGATACATCCAGGTTGAGTTGGCAGTAGGTAGCTACATGTTGAACTCTTGAGCTAGAGGAAAAGTTTGGGCTGGAGATAAAAATTTGAGGATTATCAGCTGCATACAGATTTCCTCTAGTTATCCTCTCTTGGACATCATCGAGATCCACTATCACTCTCATCAGTTTCAAACATGTTCTAGTCTTACCCATCATTTAAAACAAAATAGAACAAGAAATGTAGCTATTGCTCCATTTCTCTGCCTCCCTTTACGGCGAAATCTCTCACTTTCTTAGAAGCTGCTGGATTTAGAAAGTTTATGGGATTGAGACTAGAAGGTCATGATGAGACCAAACAATTATAGTAGAGAAACACTAATGAGTTGGAGAGATAGGAGGTGGTGATTTAAAAAGCAGGATGTTTGCAATTGAAATTTCAGAGGTATCAAATGACACCATTTCAGAGCTCTGTTTGTAAAGAATTACAAGGAAAAGGAACCCATTCCCTTGCATCAGATTTAGTGTTGGCACTTCGTGGGCATGCACTAGCTCAGTCTCGCAGATCTTCAGTCACTGTCTACTCTGCTGGCTGTAGCTCCTGCCCTACTGGTTATTAAATACTAACCTTGGTAAAGCAACCCTTTTAAGGAACCCTGACGCAAACATAGAGCACAATGACCAGGATGCTGAAGGGCCTGGGCACTTGGAAGTGTTTACCTTGGAGAAGAGAAAAGACAGAAGGATCATAATTCTTCCTTTCAAGTATTTATGGAATTCTCAGAGACTCTCAGGCCAAATATGAAATTTGTTCTGCCTAATAATATCTAATAGTTATTGAATATTTACCATTATTCAGGCACAGTCCTAAGAATGTATAACTCCCTTAATTTTCTTAACTATCCTGTAGAGGTAGGTTACATTTATCCTCATTTTACTTATTTTTTTAAATTTTCTTAAAAGATTTTATTTATTTATTTGACAGAGAGAACACAAACAGGGGGAGTGGCAGGCAGAGGGAGAGGGAGAGGCAGACTCTCCACTGAGCAGGGAGCCGGACGGACGCGGGGCTTCATCCCAGGACCCTGGGATCATGACCTGAGCCGAAGGCAGACGCTTAACCGACTGAGCCACCCAGGCGTCCCTCTCATTTTAAATATAAAGAAACCAAGTCACAAAAGGATTGAGCAACTTGTTCCCAGGGACATAACTAATAAGTAGAGAAAGTGGGCTTCAACTACACCAACCATGTGACAGTCATTCCATTGATACTTTTTGATTCAACATGAAGAACAGTCTAGCAACTAGAACTGTTCAAAAAGAGAAAATGCTCATAAGTTCCATGTCATATCTTCAACACTATGTCCAGGGTTATTTTAGAACAAACTCAGTGTCAGATGAAAGATGGAAATAAATGATCTCTAAGATCCTATATTGGCACTATTCCCAGGCACCCATTTTAAACCTACACATTTTGTAAATGTGTTGTCTGTATTTCTAAGTTCTAAATAGAAATACCGTATTTGACAGAACCAAGGATAAAACTATTTTCATACCATTAAGACCTTCCCTCCAGCTTAATATTGTATGATTATTTAATCAGCTGTGTAACTTCCTAGCCACTTAATTATCCATTTACATTTTATATCTGTTCACAGGATATCATAAGATACTTTATTAAGTGCTTCATTGCAATCACGATTCATTAAGTTTATCTCCTTCCCCCTAGCCACCACCTAATTAGCTCTTTCAACAAAAATTAATTAGGTTACTTGAATGTGACACGTTAAGGATTCCATGCTGGCTTCTTGTGACCATTGATTCTTCAAGTGTTCAAAAACTGTCCAGTAATTTGCCAAAGTTTCTTTTTTATTTAACACACACTTATAATAATTTACAAATACCAATTTATAAAATCCTATTTGAACATAATTTTTATCTCCATTATACAGATGAGAAAATTGAGGCAGAGTGAGACAGATTAAACGAATTACCCAGGGCCACATAGTAAATTGCAAAGCTGTGGAACCTGCAGTTTGGCTATAGAACCTGATAGAATCTGTGCCTGTAAGCATGAAGCTATGCTCTTTCGTTGACGTACAATCTTGGAAATCCTCTACTTTCTTTGTTTTCTCTGACTTCTAACCATCTTCCCTCACCCCCAAATCTTTTTTAAAAATTTTCTAAGCAGTAACCTATTCCCATTTACATTATTTTAAAACTTCTGGCATGTTTGTTGACTCTATCCAGAGTCCTTTTCCTTGACATGGTGCATCCCAGTTCCCCATCATATCCAGTTCACCAGACAGATTCTTCAAAGATAAGAAGGATGTAGAGGTTCACTCTTCCCCATTCCCTATCTTTCTGTGTCAGATTGTTGAGATAACATTATCTTTAAGACAAATCAATAATGTATCACTGTTTTGAGAGAACTGAAATTACAGCATGTACAAGTAAATTACAGCAGATATCCTATCACTGTCAGGACCACCTTTTTTTTTTTTAAGATTTTATTTATTTGACAGAGAGACAGTGAGAGCAGGAACACAAGCAGGGGGAGTGGGAGAGGGAGAAGCAGGCTCCCCGTGGAGCAGGGAGCCCGATGTGGGGCTTGATCCCAGGACCCTGGGATCATGACCTGAGCTGAAGGCAGATGCTTAACGACTGAGCCACCCAGGCGCCCTCAGGACCACCTTTGAACAACTTGTATTTCTGAATTAGGAAAGGATCATCATTAGTCTGCATTTGGGCAGCCTGAGTGTCTTAGCCAGTTTGGGCCGCTATAACAAAAATACTAGACATGGGTGGCTTAAACAGCAAGCATTTATTTCTCACGGTTCTGGAGGCTTGGAAGTCCAAGACTTGGTGTCTGGTAAGAGCTCAATTCTGATTCATAGTTGTCTTTTTTGCTCTGTCCTCACATGGCAAAAAAGGAGTGAGAGAGTTCTCTGGGTCTCCTTTATAAGGGCACTAGTTCTTGGGGCGCCTGGGTGGCTCAGTCGTTAAGTGTCTGCCTTCGGCTCAGGTCATGATCCCAGGGTCCTGGGATGAAGTCCCGCATCAGGCTCCCTGCTTGGTGGGAAGTCTGCTTCTTTCTCTCCCTCTCCCTGCTGCTCCCCCTGCTTGTGTATGCTCTCTTTCTCTCTCTGTCAAATAAATAAATAAATAAATAAATAAATAAATAAATAAAATCTTAAAAAACCCAAAATAACTGAGGGCACTAGTTCCATTCATGCAGTCTCCACCCTTGTGACCATTTCCCAGAGGCCCTGCCTCCTAATACCATCACATTTGGGATTAGGATTTCAACCCATGAAATTGTGGGCGGGGTGGGGGTGGGGCACAAACATTCAGAACACTGTCCTATTACTTTTGTTTCTCTGCCCATTTGCCTTCACCAACAAGCCTCTTTTCTCATCCTTATGATCACAGATTGCCATAGAGTTGTATGTCATTTCATAGCAAATGCTAGTCCACTCTTTTCCCTTTAATCATTCAAAATCTGTACCCTTCCATGGTTGCAGTCAAATCATGGATGCCATTCCACAAATCTTGATTTTACATTATCGATAATCATTCCTTTGCTAATATTAACAGTTTGGAATTTAATGTCCCCTCCTAGCCCTCTTTTATCTATGTTACTGCACAGGAGAAATATTTTAATTACTATGTTTACCTCACATTGCAGCTCATTTATGTGGTTCCAAGAAAGAATTTGTCTTGATATCCAGTGGTGCTTACCTGACCATGAATTTTAAGACTGATAAGTCTGTGGGAGAAAGAGGTTTTAAACTTATTTTGGAAGATACAGTTCAGAAGCATTCACAAAAAAGTAATATGGGAACCCAACTGCCTATCAATGGTAAGTATTTTAAAATATTTATTAAAGCAGATACCATACATGTCAAAGTAGAACCTGTGGAACACTGGTTTGAGAGTCCCTGGTAGTTACCCTGCTTTAATTCTCAAAACAGGATAACTTCATTTCAGACCATTCTTTAAGGCACAAGACCTTGGTAGGTTATTTTTTTAAATTTTTTTAAGATTTTATTTGAGAGAGGAGCAAGAGAGAGCATGAGCTGGGGGGAGAGGCAAAGGGAGAGGGAGAAGCAGGCTCCCCCTGAGCAGGGAGCCTGATGCAGGGCTCGATCCCAGGACTCTGAGATCATGACCTGAGCCGAAGGAAGCTACTTAACTGAGCCACCCAGGCACCCCATATTGGTAGTTTAGATGGACCATTTGAGGTAATAGTTAATCGGGGTGTATGCATGTGTCTCTGTTATTTTACTTAAGCAATAATGATAAACATCAAAGGCAGCTGCTATTTAAAAAAAAATCTAGTGGGGACATTGAGGCTGAAACAAAGGTAGAGTTCAGTGTGTTTCCATGTCTCTGTTACCATCTCTCTTTTATTAAATAACAACTCCCAAATCCCCAAAAAGATACTCCCTCCAAAAAAGAATATTTTAGCTGAACGCATACTAACGACTCTGCATAAAATAGAAACACATGTAATGACTTTTCTGTTTATCGAATCTACTTTAAGCCAGAACTTCATTGGTTGTGTTTATGAGTAAAAAAACAAATAAATCTGTTATTAGGAGATTCTCTTGGTTGCAGTGTAATTCTAGGAAGAATTCTAATAACATCCAATACAAAGTTCTTTTTGATGTCACTTTGTCTTTTGTAAGATGGGGGAATGAATGAATTCTAGAAGAGTCCTTGATTTGAGCCATAGACTAATGAACCACATCATCATATAGGTGTGATTTTTTTTTTAATTGGGTAAGGAGTGCTCAACTACTGACCCTTCTTCTGTCTCCATTGTTCTTTTTAAAAAGATATATTTATTTATTTTTTAGAGCGCATGAGCAGGGGTAGGGACAGAGGGAGAGAGAGAATCCTCAAGCGGACTCCTGCTGAGCATGGAGCCTGTTACAAGGCTCGATCCCAGGACCCTGAGATCATGACCTGAGGTGAAATCAAAAGTCAGATGCTTAACTGACTGTGCCACCCAGGCACCCCTGTCTCCATTGCTCTTATCTTTCCATCTCTGCATCTCTAAACTGACCCTTCATTTGCATGGTAAAAATATTTAGGCTGCTTCATTTCCTCTTTTAAGCATTTGTTGTTTTTTTTTTTTTTTAGAAGTAAGTTGAAAAAAAAATTGAATACTAATAAAATATTGCTGTTATGCATGTGTATGAACAGCCCACAGGTCTAAGAGTTACCACATACACAGATTAAAATGCAGTAAAAACATGCAGTAAGGCAGTAAACCTTAAAGTATAAAACATGTTGAATAGATAACTTTGTGAGGTTTTTTATTTCTTTTTTTTTTTTTAATATTTTTATTTATTTGACAGAGACACAGCGAGAGAGGGAACACAAGCAGGGGGAGTGGGAGGGAGAGACGCAGGCTTCCCACCGAGCAGGGAGCCTGATGTGGGACTCGATCCCAGGACTCTGGGATCATGACCTGAGCCAAAGGCAGACGCTTAACGTCTGAGCCACCCAGGCGCCCCGGGTTTTTTATTTCTATGATCTAGGATAGTCTTAATTTTGAAGAGTTCGCATATTTTTTTGACATATATATCCAAAAGGAGGAAGGAATCCATGTTTTATACATATCTGAAGAGAAAGTAGAAATGAATTTTGATACAAGTATTGAATAAACAAATCCACCCTACTAGAAACTTTGTTTTAAATAGATTTCTGGTGTAAAAAATTTCAAGCAAAACATTTAAAAAATGAGCATATCTTATAATTCCCAAATTATAAGCTATGAGGAAGCTTATTTAATTTTCTTCATATTTCAGGATATACTTGAATAAGTCTCTTGTTTTTAATTCCCTGGTGCAGTTCTTTCTAAATCTGAGAATGAAGTAAATACATTACTAGAAATTTTCCTTATGTTTTTCCTTTCTATATAAATTGTACTTGGAATACATGTAGTATGAAGTCTTTTGATATGTCTAGATGTGTTATACTGGGATCACACAAATAATGCCAAAGAAAGAATAATGTCCAGTAATTTCATGATTAAGTGCAATATTTTAAAAATCCATTTCTGTTCTGATTTGTCTAAAGAGGTATGTATTAATGCTTCAGGTAACTTTATTGATTTTTGTTCATTTTAAAAGCAATGGAAGAAAAGAGAAATCGCCTCTGTGGCTAAGAATCCTAGTTTTGAAACTACAAAAGAAATAAATCCCTCCATTCTGAGATTTTAATAGACTTTGATAAGTATTTCTAATGTTTTGTTGTTACTTTTCTCAGAGATAACCGTAGAAAGCAATACTGGAAAACAGCCAACCCAAGACACATGTGGAATTCCAGTTGTTGACCCATTTCTAATGCAAGGATCTGAGAGAAACACACAGGTGTTGCCAGCTGAGCGTGGGGAGCCCCGGATGGTGGGTGGCCATGTGGCACCTGCCAGGTCGTGGCCCTGGCTCGTCAGCCTGCAGCACCAAGGCCAACATTTCTGTGGAGGTGCTCTGATTGCAAAGCAGTGGGTCCTGACAGCGGCGCACTGTAACTTTAGGTGTGTGCCCGTGCGGGGTGATGGGGGGGGTGCCTGAGCTGGGTGTACTCCTGCTCTCCCCACAGCACAGGAAACCTTAAGCTCCCACCCATACAGTCCCTACCTCACAAATGAATGGATGTGCTCAGACCACGACACGTCGTGCTTCTCTAACACATTTACTACTGATAACTTTTAATTTTAAAAGGTGTTAAAATTAACTTTTCAGTGTAATTTACTTAATATAAGTAACAATAGTCCCCTCTTTCCTTATCTATAAAATGGAGGTAATATCTTAACATGTTTGCATCAGCGTCTTAACCCCTTACCTAGAGCACAGGAGTTGCTCAAATGTGAATTCCTGTCCTTCTTGCTCTACTCTACTGACTACTGATCATCCTACCCACTCTCAAAATAAGTGTCCACTTTCAAAGAATTTTAAAGAATGTCCTTTAAAAGAAACACTTAAACAAATTGTATCTGAATCTTGGTCTCAATGTGATACAGAGATATCTGAAAACTCCTTACTCGGAGAAGTTTTAGGCTGGTGTTTTTAATACCGGCCTCCCAGAAGTAGCGATGGCCCATAATTAAATGAGTAGATAGAGTGTTTCAGGGCTGCTAAAGTAGGCTTTCTAATAAAAGTATCTGCTCCAATAACTTGGTGGACAGGAACCTTCAAGGAATCAAAAACTCCTTTTCTCTACCATTCCCCAACTCCTTTGATATAGAGAAATCACAAGAAGTTCTCCTTACTAAGGCAGTTTTCAGACTTTCATGTTCTCAAAATTACCTGGAGAGTTTGCTATGAAATCTTAGAATCTTAATTCTGAATTTTGACTTAATGAGTTATGTCTGGGATTCTGCATTTTTAATGCACTACCAGATTTAATGCATGTAGTTCCTGGACATTTTTTTGAGAAACACTGTATTAGGGAGTAGAGTAACTAAAACTTTCAGAATAGGTTTCAGTGACTATTATATAAGTATGTCATATAATGTGTAATATTATGATTGTAATAATACATAGAATCATTACCCTGAGGCATCATGAATCTTGTTAAGAAACACTAAATCATTTTTTTTTTGTTTGATGTTATGAAGGCAAGAAAGTAGATACCTTAATTTTTCTCAAGGATCAAATTAATAAGAAACCTCCATTTTCTAGAAATTCAAGATAATACAGATTTTAATGTAGATGGGAGATGTTAGAGAATGTACTTTTAGTAATTTTGAAAAAGTATGACCTCATTAAAAGTGATATCTATCTCCCCCATTCCTTTTTCCTATGACAAGTACTATCACAGATGGCCTGGTAATAGGAAGAAGTTCCCTCTCAAACACGGGAAATAGTGATTTGATACCAGTGAAAGCTGTGTACACTCACCCTGGCTTCGCACAGTTCCCTCCTACTGATGATCTATCCTTGCTGCAGCTGGAGAAACCTGTCCAACTAGGTCAGTGTGGATAACAACTCTGCTCCATATTTGCAAGCTTTGCCATGTGGTTTTTATCTTCCATCTTGCTTAGAAGTGCTGTATGTACTTTTGAAAGTCACGATTTCAAAACTTTCTGATATTCTAAGCTACCTTCCCTCAAAGCTGAAGCACCTGCCCAAACATTTTACTTTTATATGTCTTTAATTGGTGCGGTCTAGAGAAGATTTCAAAGAAATATGTTTTTAACCTTGTCCTATTTATTCTGAGACTCACTGTTAGGTGAGGTTTACCCAAATACTTAAAACAGCAGTTGGACCCATCAGATGTTCAATTGTCTGTACCTTTATGGCTTAGTAAAATCTTGTTCTTTTTTAATGTTTATTTAAACCGCAGCTGATGTGAACACATAGTGAGGAATTGTAGCCATGTGATCTTGGGCGGGTTATGTAACTTCTCTGAGCCTCAGCTTGATCATTTGTAGAAAGGGAAAAAACAGTAACCCTCCTAGCTACTTAGCAGGGGTGCACTTTCAATGAGAAAGTAAATGGGGGGGGCGGAGAGTGGAACTAAGATCTGTGGACAGTGCCCACTTTCACACTCGCACCTTTCCATGGATTCCTAGGGCTCTGGGACAGTGTCCCTGCTTTCTTCCAACTCTCTCCTGTGTTTCTGCCTTCTTCAGCTGTGCTCTTGCCAATAGCCTCACTTCCCTTTTTAATGTCTTTTCAGTGGATCCATCCTGCAAACTCCAGTCCTGGTTCAGCCCACAGTTTGCTTTCTGGGCTTTTGTAAGTGAGTCAGTGAGAGCATCTAGAACAGGGCTGCTTTACCTTGGCTATGTATTATAATCCCCTGGGTTGCTTAAAACAAAACTGTAGACCAGGATGCAATTTGGACCAATTAATCACAGTCTCAGAAGTGGATACGTGGCATCAGTATTTTTTCCCTTTATTTTGCTTATTAAATTATTTTAGTTAAACTTTTTTATGTTGAGATAATCACAGATATCCAAGCAGTTGTAGGAAATACAGATACACCGATATACTTTCTCCCCTTTTTTCACCAGTGGAAACATCTTGCAGGGTATTGACACTGATACAGTGGAGATGCAGGACGCTTCTATCACCACAAGTGATACTCTTGCCCTTTTCTAGCAATACGCCCTTCCTCCTCCCCCACCAGACCTCTGGCAACCAGGAATCTGTTCTCTGTTTCTATAATTTTGTCATTTCAAGAATGTTATATAAATGGAATTACGGTCTTGTAGACATTGGGGATTAACTTTTTTCACTCAGCATAATGCCCTGGAGATTTTTTTTTTAATTTTATTTTTATGTTAATCCCCATACATTACATCATTAGTTTTAGATGAAGTGTTCCATGATTCATTGTTTGTGCATAACACCCAGTGCTCCATGCAGAATGTGCCCTCCTCAATACCCACCACCAGGCTAACCCATCCTCCCACCCCCCTCCCCTCTAGAACCCTGTTTGTTTTTCAGAGTCCATCGTCTCTCATGGTTCGTCTACCCCTCCGATTTCCCCCGCTTCATTCTTCCCCTCCCGCTACCTTCTTCTTCTTTTTTTTTTTTCTTAACATATATTACATTATTTGTTTCAGAGGTACAGATCTGAGATTCAACAGTCTTGCACAATTCACAGCGCTTACCAGAGCACATACCCTCCCCAGTGTCTATCACCCAGTCACCCCATCCCTCCCACCCCACCCCGCACTCCAGCAACCCTCAGTTTGTTTCCTGCGATTAAGAATTCCTCATATCAGTGAGGTCATATGATACATGTCTTTCTCTGTTTGACTTATTTCGCTCAACATAATACCCTCCAGTTCCAGCCACGTCGTTGCAAATGGCAAGATCTCATTCCTTTTGATGGCTGCATAATATTCCATTGTATACATATACCACATCTTCTTTATCCATTCATCTGTCGATGGACATCTTGGCTCTTTCCACAGTTTAATGCTCTGGAGATTTATTCATATTGTTCCATGTATCAATAGTTCATTCCTTTTCACTGCTGAGTAGGGTTCCATGATACGGATGTTTAACCATTCATAAATGAAGAACATCTGGGTTGTTTCCAGCTTTTGGATATTCCAGATAAAGCTCCCCTGAGCATTTATGTATAGGTTTTTTTTTTTTTTTAATTTTATTTATTCATGAGAGACAGAGAGAGGCAGAGGGAGAAGCAGGCTCCTCAATCCCAGGACCCTGCGATCATGATCTGAGCCGAAGGCAGACGCTTAACCTACTGAGCCACTCAGGTGCCCTGTGTATAGGTTTTGTGTAAATAAAATTGAACAGGAGTTTTCATTTCTGTGGGATAAATGCCCAAGAGTGTAAGTGCCAGGTCATAGAGTAGGTGCGTTTCAGTTTTATACGAAATTCCCAAACTGTTTTTCTGGAGTCATAGTACCATTGTATATTCCACCAGAGTTGTAGGAGTGATCTGGTTTCTCTGCATCTTCATGAGCACTTGCTCTTGTCACTATTTTTTTTTAAGGCGTTCTGATAGGTATATAGTGATACCCTACTGCAATTTTAATTGTATTTCCTTAATGGCTAATAATATTGAATATATATTAATGTGCCTATTTGCCATTTTTAAAAAACCCTTTAGTGAAATGTCTCTTCATAGATTTGTCAATTTTCTAATTGGATGGTTTTTCATATTGTGGAGCTGAAGAATTCTTTATATATTCTAGATACTACTGCTTTGTCAGATACGTGGTTAGCAAACATTTTCTTCCAGTCTATAGATCGTCTCCCAGTCTGTAGAACCTTCTACAGAGTCTTCCACAAAGCAAAGATTTTAATTTTGATGAAGCCCAGTTTCTCCATTTTCCTTTTTATGGATTTTGCTTCAGGTGTCAAGTCTAAGAACTCTTTGCCTAGCCTTAGGTGCTGAAATTTTTTTCCTATTTCTCTAAAAGTTTTCTATTTTATATTTAACTTCATAATCCATTTTTAGTTAATTTTTGTATAAGGTTTAAGGTTTTGGTCAAGGTTCTTTTTCCTCCCCCAGGATGTCCAGTTGTGCAAGCAACATCTGTTGAAAAGGCTGTCTTTCCTCCATTGAGTTGCTTTTGTGCCTTTGTGAAAAATCAGCTGAGCATATTTGTATGGGTCTATTTCTGGGATCTCTATTCTATCAATCTATGCCTTTTCCCATTCTCCAGTACCACACTGTCTTGATTACTGTAGCTGTATAATAGGGTTTATATTAAAAAGTGATTCCTCTCAACTTATTCTTTTTCAAGATTGCTTTAGCAGTTCTAAGCCCTGTACCTTTTCATGTAAATGTTAAAATAATATGTCTACAACACTTCCTGTGATTTTAATAGGAATTACATTAAGCCTATAGATCACTTGAGGGAGAACTGACATCTTTGCTATGTTGAATCTTTCAAATCATGAACACAGTATATTTCTCTACTTATTTAGGTCTTGTTTGATTTCTTTCGCCAGAATATTGCCATTTTTAGTGCACAGATCCTGTATATGTTTTGCTAAGTATATACATATCTAAGCATTGCATTTTCTTCACAGTGATTATAGTGTTTTTAATTTTAAATTCTACATGAAATGTGATTGATATCTGTATATTGATCTTGTATCCTGGATTTTGCTGAATCTAGACCAGTATTTTATAAACTACCCCTGGAAATTTCAATGTGCAGCCAAAACTGAAAACCACTGTTCTAGAAAAAGACCACTGGTGAGGTTTGGGTGCCCTTAAAAACTTACAGTTTCCAGTTTCAGTACCATTCTGCAATCCTTGTGTGCATGTTTCTTCTTTCCAGTAGCCACAATAGTCATTACAAACATTCCCTTTTTTCAGCCCTTCTGAATTTACCCTTTATCCTGCCCCCCCCCCCTTTTTTTCCTGGTCTCCAAGGATCTTGCTTTCCACTCAGCACCACCTGATGTCAACACCAGCATGAACCTTTCTGTTCCTCTTTCCCTAAATACTGAGTTAGTTTACCTAATCTGTACCCATTCATTTCTCTTCAGTGGTCAGAGTGAGAAGTATCCTTTTTCCCATTAGAAACAATACAATTTCTACCTATGATTTTCATCCTCACCACCTCACCATGGCCATCATGTGAACATTTGCCCTATTTCTTTCCTGTCTTTTTATACTACTCTATGTGTACTTAAATAATTGTAATATACCTATTATGAGTTTTATCCTGATTTTTTTCACTTATCAGCATTGCTTCATATTATTAAAATTTCCTTTAAAATGTAATTGTAATGGCTACGTAGTAGCCTTTCCACAATTCTTATAAATAGGTTGTTTCTTTCTTTTTTTTTTTAATTTAAATAATGCTGGATTAACTATCCTTATGCATATGTTTTTCCAGGTCTAAGATTGCCTTAAAATAAATTTCCCAGAAGTAGAATTGTTAGGTTTAGGGCATAACTATTTTCAAGATTCCTGACAGACATCTAGATGTTAAGTGCATAAAAGTCTGGATAAAACTGAAGTCAAACAGCATGGGAAAGCAAACACAGGAGCACTGCATTCAGAGAGAGAGAGAGAGTGTGTGTGTGTGTGTGTGTGTGTGTAGTGTATATACAGAGACATACACATAAACCCACAATATTTATATATATACAAATTTTGGTGGTACGAAAAATGTGAATGTTTATAGATCAATGTATTTTATAATACACCTGCAAAGAAACAATTAGATATAAAAACACGAGCTGTAAAAAAACTTTAAAGTTTACATTGCTACAAATGTGGTTTTCTCCATTCCTCATGTAACATGGTTGAAGAGAAAAGATTATTATATTCTTCTGCACTGTCGTCTCAGATTTAACAAGGTGATGTCCTAAATTAGGCATATGGACAGAAAGGCAGATGCATTTTAAAAATGGTTAGTGGGTGAGAAACCATCTCTATGCAGGGCATGTGCTTGTATTGTCCTAGGAAGAAATGGTAATACCTGGAACAAAGTGGTTACCTGTGAACTGAGATGATCCTTTCTGAGTAATTAATAGGTGGTACCTTCTGTATTAAACTACCAGGTTAAAACGGGTACTATCATGTCAAAATAGTTATTTTTAGAGCCATCGTGGAAGAGAAGCAGTATAGATAATATCAATCCTATGGACTAAATGGTATTTGTCTTTTTCTCATTCTAGGGGAGTTTGTATCTGTAATCTGTTTGCCAGGGAAAGATGATAAAATAAACTTATTTTCCAAATGTCTGACTGCTGGATGGGGAATAACTGAACCACATCGTGAGTACATTCACTGCCTCTTCTAAGATTAGAATCCAAACAAATACTTGTCAAGTCTGAGTATACTCTTTGCTCATTTTCAGTTTTTCCGTGTCTTTAATAGGAATGATAGTAGAAAAAGTCTTTTTCATAATGGATCTAAAGGTGACTACTTGGGTTTTAGGACATCATATTCAATAATACTAATTCACGGATACGAGTTCATGGATACTTGTAAAAACTTGTGTTGGAGAATATCTAGTGGTTTTTTTGCCTAATAAATATTTGTATGTAATTTTTACCTAATAAATATTTATATGTAATTACTCCCCGGTTGCACTGTGAACACACACACACTTGCTTTCACAACAGTGTAGGTGCCGCTACAGTGAAAATCTCTTCTTAAGGTTATGAGCCTATTTCCAAAGATGTGAGGCATTTTTCTGAAATGAAAGGCTGGTATAAATGGTAGAGTTTATCTGAAAGTAGTCTACATAAAGGTCAAACCCGTGACTCTGGTCTCATTTCCACCATATTCTACAACTGAGTTAACAAGTTGCAAATATCCAATAAAATAAAGAGTAAGTCAGAATGCAATTTCAGTTGTCACCTCCAGTGTCAACACTTAAATGTGAAGTCAAGTCAAAAGAATAAGAGCACCGTGAAACCAGTGAAATCTAGACTTAACATGTAAAACATGAAATGCATTGTTTACTTTATCAACTGATTTGGGTGCAGACTTCCTTCTTCCTTCTCTATAGTGGTGTCCTCTTTCTATCTTCTTAGGACTGTACTAAAGACAGAAGAACCCACATGGAGTGTCCTTTGTTATTCCTGTTGTATAAGCTACCATGGAGTAATACTAATTTTTTACACACCACCTAACATCATTACAGTGCCGAGAGGGGAGAATGGGTGGGATGACCCTCAGAATCTGTCTGTTTGGGGGGCTATTTTTGTTGTATCCTATACAACCATTTGCCTAGGTTGTATGTTTTATTCTTTTTCTACTAGAAGATGAATTTTCTAAAACCGTGCAGGAAGCAGTGGTCCCACTGATCAGCAGTACATCTTGTCGAAGCTACTGGGGACTGGATATTAAAAACACCAACATATGTGGAGGGGCTGTGGGCTCATCCTCGTGCATGGTAATTCCAGGATGCATTGATGAATGTGGTTTTCTTCTCAGTGTGTCTCATCAATGGGTGTTTGCTGACCATAAAGAGGTATAAATATATGCTAGTTTTAAAATGAAAAGTGAGAAGAATAAGTACATTGCTAAGCTGACATACTGTCATTGCAAATTTGGTACTTGAAGTGAACACAGTTCTCAAAAGGAATTGCTCATTCATTTGCTTGGTTGACTGTGTGAAATTGATGATATTCAGCTGTTTTTGACCTATAAAAATAATTTATTATGGCTCACCTTCACAGCTGAATCAGGCAGTGTAAAGAATCTACTTCTAGTAGCATTGAAAATATAAAGATATTTTCATGTAACTCAAAACCGTCATTTAGTCGTTGATATTTAGTAGATGCTTGAAACTTTCTGCAAGGCACAGTCTGTTGTCAGCATTAAATGACTGTGTTAAATGTACCTTTTTAGCCACCCTTTGAAAATATAGATTTTGATCTGAGTCAGAGACCTGTAACATCCGCCAACTGCCTAGTTCCCTCTGCTGTTGTGAGCAGAAATCAGAGATGAGGGAATGACTTCGGCACTGTCTGATCACCTCTGCAGTGGGGGTTAGCATTGACCATGAATCAAGCAACCAGGAGAACTTCTCTTTCTGCGGGTTGCAGGGAGATTCTGGAGGACCGCTGCAGTGTGCCCACGACGGACAGTACGAGCTCATCGGTATCGTGAGCTGGGGCAGCAGTAACTGCCAGCCTAGCGCACCCACGGTCTTTGCCAGAGTTTCTGCCTACAGGGACTGGATCGCATCTGTCACTGGAGGAGAAGCGTGACTGCTGCAAGAGTAGCCTGGTGCGATTGTGTTCATAAATGTGGAAGGAAGTCCCTAGCAATATACCTGAAAAATAAGGCTCTTGTCAGTGCCAGAGACTCCGTGTCACTTGGATTTGGTGTGCACATACGTCTAGGATTAAACACTGAACACAGAAAGCTAATGTTGATTCATGCCTCCTGGGAATGTATAACCTGAAATGTCATTAAATTTATATTTAGTGTACCATGTATATGTCATTATTTGAATACCATCATATACACTGTTACTCTTTTTTCTGGTTTGGTAAACATTAGAAGATAGGAAGTGAAATGTTATTCAGTCCATATAATTCTTAGTTTCACTCACACGGGAGAGTGCCCTGAGCACAGAAAGGAAAGGTCCCTCTACGTCTCAGAGTTTCAATGAACAATAGACCTTTAAGAAATTATTTATCAAGCTTATCACTTGATTTTTAAATTTTTAGATAAAATTTTAGGATATCCCAGTTGTTTACAAAACAGTTAATTTATCTGAACCTCAGCTAACCAATACCCTCATCTTTCTAAGCTGTAGCCAAGCGTAAGGGGGAAGGTACTAAGGAAGACCCCCGAGCCAGAAGATTAAATGCCAAAGTCCACCACAGAAATATAAAATATAGAATGAGTGAGGGCCTGTGGCAACTTTTTTTTTCTTATTTTATACATTTCCACCAAAATTTATCATTTGGTTTCCAGGATTATAGCATTCAGGGAGAGAGTATTGTTCAACTTTAGGTAAGTACCTATATAATCTAATGAAAGAACACCTCATAAGGAAGTAGGCAATGTAAATATATATTCTCTTTCTCTGATTTTTCTTTCCCTGTCATTCCTTTGTCCTCACCACACACCCTCCTTCAATCTCTGCTCTCTTTTGCCAGTGCTACAAAGTATTATAAATGTCCTAGTATTTAGTAAAAACTTCTATGAATATTGCTCTCAACTGCCTGCCTTGATTTAAATTATGATTTTTGACAGGGGCTCTGAGTAAAATGGAAGAGGAGATTTGCAATAGCGATTCTCTAATTCTTATGTTAATCCATTTTGTACTATTTTTACTTTGTCTCTTGTTGAATTTTTCTCATTTTTTTTTTTAATCAGGTGACATGAAAGGGGATTAAAGATGGGCTCTGTTAAAGTGTCAGGCCCGTCTAAAGCCTTTTTGCTTCACAGTACGATTTGCTGGTGGTGAACTTTGGTGCAGCCACAGTCTCCACTGTGACCTTGTATGACAGCACCCTGGTGGTGATACTGCAGGGCCCTGTCAGGAGAGGGTGCAGGGTTGGCAGGCCGTGTACCACCTAGAGAAGCTGCCTGATTTTCCTACAAGAGTCAGAAACTATTTAGTGCTCGGTTTTCAGCTTTAGTTGGCAGTAATTTGTAAATTCTTCCATATTTAATCTTTCCTCTGTGGAGCAGGACCGTTAGACTGTTTTACTTGCCCTGCCTTTACAATTCAATCGAGGAGGGGCATTCACTTTCCTACTCTGATCTTTTCAAGAGCTCTCCTGTTTGCATTCATTGCAAGGTCAAGCTGTACATGGACCAGATTGCAATCCACTGTGTAAACGGGTCTATTAGGTAGGGGTCACAGAGCCCAACTTAAAGGAATTAGAGACCCCATCACCTAATTCTTCATGTATGTATTAAAAAATATTCTTTGTGAACACCTACTATGTGGCAAATGGCACCAGAAAGAAGCTTCCCTCATCTTTAGAATCTCATTGCAGTGGAGACAAATGACATACAAAGATAATTACTAGCTCTGGGAGCTGGCAGCCTAGGAGAGAACAACCAACACTTTCTGCAGGAATGGGTGAAGGTTTGGCAGAAGTAAGATTTGAGCTCAAGTATTAGTTGATTTTTGTTTTAAAGTTCTATACACCAATCTCTTATGTTAAATCTGTATCAAGCTATTTTCCTATCAACAACTCCACATACTCTGAATTTCTCCTGTCATTTAGATTATTGGGACATGTGTTTGTTCATTCTGAAGCCATAAATTGCATTACTTCATTTCCTCTAACCCCCCACCTTGTTTCTTTCATATGATTTTCAATAATATAGTTCCAGCATTTTATGCATGTTCTTTGTCAATTCAAGAAACCATCAACAACTTAAACCTAACAAGTATCTAATTCTCGCCAAAGATTAACAGCGTTTGGCACTTATCCTGATTTTATCTTGGTCTCAACTGTATTATCAGATTATTACTTTCATTTTTCTATTCCCCACAGATATTTATAAAATAAGTAAATTATCAAATTGTCAAATAATGGCAACAAAAAACTGCTGGGACCAAAACATCTAAAAAAGTCTTAAAAAGAGGCAGAATAAAGTGGGAGAACTGTAACTGGCAATGAAGCCACAGTAATTAAGACGAAGATTATAGTATTGCTGCAGAGATGAACTGACCAATAGAAGAGAATACAAAAGCAAGAAGCAATGCCATTTTGTATTCTCTAAGTTGGTAAACAATTGCAACAGTGTGACAATATAAACATACTGAGAATGTGGAGTGGGGGAACTCTTCTCACTGCTGGTGGGGCTGGGGTATAATCAGGTGCTCCAGCTTTGGAAAACTCAGTATCAGTAAAATTGAAGATGCCAGTGTCCTCTGAGTCTGCAATTCTACCTCTAGGCATATGCCCTAGGGCATTGTCTTCAACCATGGCTGCCATTAAATGTAAAGTCTGGAGAGTGGGGAATGATTTTTTTAAAGCTCCTGGCATGATTCTAATGTGCAGTCAGGTTTGAGAGCAGTATCTTAGAGGAAATGAGGCAACCATAACCACTGAACATGTACAAGAATGTTTAGAAAAATGTTAGTATCAGCACAAGCTGGAATTCCACATGCCACCCATAGAAGCTCGGGTAATCAAAATGTAGTATACTCACAAAGCAGTAAAAAAGAGAAAACAGTCCATAGGCTCTTTACGTGAATCTTAGAAGCAATGCTGAGCTTAAACGAATTTCAGAAGATTAGGTACCATTAAAGATCAGAAAACAAGCAAACTTAAACATGATTTTGCTTAGGCTTACATCATATATGGTTAAAAAATGCAAGGGATGTAGCTTAGCATTTGGAGTAGTGGGGAGGCAGTGGAATACAGTGGAGGGACCACACACAAGTCCTTTCAATGCTATTAATAATTTTCTAGTTAAGTTGGGCGATGGCTTCACAGATATTTATTATCTTGCTTCATAACTTATATATGCTTCTGTGTACATGAAATACTACACCATATAATTATACTTAAAGGCCTTTTTAAAATTTTATTGCCTTATTGTATATCCTTCCAGTGTTTTTATGCAAATAAATGCAAACATGAATGCACATTCTCATTTTCCCCCCTTACACAAAAATAGCACATAAATTGTTCTAAACCTTGATTTTTTTCCACTTGATCATATATGCTGGAGATCTTCCCATATCACTGTACTTTTTTGAAAAAATATTTTTATAGTATAATTAACATACTGTTAGTTTCAGGTGAACAATATAATGATTCAACAATTCTATACATTATGCGGTGTACTTTGAATCTGTTTTATCTCTGCCCCCACCCCCTCCTTCCCCCACTTAAAGGCCTTTTTAATTACACTAGCTCCTCAGAGTAGAACCTGTCCTTCCTGTCCAGGTACTTAGAATGTTCCACACATATCTAGAGCATTAAATCCTCCCATTTTTTAGTGGTTCCCTTTGCCTAGAAAGCACAAATTGTCCTTGTGACTTGCATTTGCTGTTGCTGATGTCACATGTAACAATCAGCCTATTTGTTAATTTGTGCTTAGTTAACACTGGCAGTTACACTTTCTACCATCCATGCTCTTCTAGGGAAAAAGGGCTTCAAATGTGTCTGAATATCTTCTAAATGCCAGATGTTACCCGATATTTCCATTTAGTTCTTTTAATCATTAAAGCTAATCTTTATGAAAACATTTTGAATGTAGCATTAATAACCCCTGCTCATAGGGATTAAAAGTGTTCTTCTGAAGCCAGACTTCGTGGGTTCAAATCCCAGCTCCATCATTAATTAGCATTATGACTTTGGGCAAATTACCCTCTGTTATACTTCCAATTCCTCATATATAAAGTGGAGGTAATAAAAGAAACCTATTCATAGAGATATCCTATAGTTAAATGAGTTCATAAATTTAAAACATTTAAAAGACCGGCTGGCTCCTACTAAATTTTCAATTCATGTTATCTTGTGCATTTTCCTAAAATACAGCTTTCAAAGAGGATTCCCCACCCCCTGAATCCTTTAAAAATATTTTTTATAAGACTTGCTGTTTGAGAATATAAGTACCTGTATATCTTTCCAATTACTCATTCCTTTATGTCTTCACTTCTTTTTCAATAATTCCCTTCCTAATTCCCAAAAGGATTTAACTGGAGAATGACAATCTCATCAGGCTACCTTAATATCCTTCTATGTACTAACTACTTTACATATATTAATTTAATTCTAAGCACAATTGTTTAGAAAGGCATAATCTTTCCCATTTTACCAATGAAGAGATTGAAGCAAGAGAGGTTAAGTGTCTTGTTTCATATTAAAAAGCTGGTTTCAGAGCAGAATTAGCACATAGGTTTTTCTGATTATAGACCTTAATCACCATACCACACTGACAAGTGTTTTCAGAAGATAATACTAGTGCAAGTGTGGAGTTTGGACTAAGGAAATGAGACTGGAAGTGGGAAATATTGGAATTGGGCCAGCTTCATGCACACACTTGAACATGTGAATGAAAAAAAATGAACAGAAATAAAAATAAGGCTTACATGTAATAACGGAGGTTATTATGTTTAGTTAGGTCCTTTTGAACAGTGATAGTAAGGTATATATTCATAATTTTTAGTCAAAGCATCTGAATCCTGACCGTATATTATTTATATATTTAGTTGTGTATTTTTTACATGATATAAAAATCACCCGTAGGGACATAGTTCATATATGGGATGGAAATTATTTCATCTTTTTAGCTCAACATCCATGTTAGATAACCACATCAGAAAAAGGAAAAATATCTTCTGCTTTACTCAGTTGAAAGCTGACTCTTTCTCTCATAGCATCCTGGTTTTTTTT